TCTTGTTCTTAGAATGCGGACTGTTTTGGATGGAATCATTTCAGAGTCACAAAATGCTTTTGTTGGGGGTAGACAGATTTTAGATTCTGTTCTTATTGCAGGAGAATGTGTCGATTCCAGGTTGAAGAGTGAAGTTCCTGGTGTTTTATGCAAACTGGATATCGAGAAAGCTTATGATCACGTGAATTGGAAATTTCTTCTTTATTTGCTTCGGAGATCGATGGATAAAATGGATTGAATCTTGCATCTCATCAGTTATGTTCTCTGTGCTTGTGAATAGCTCTCCTGCTGGGTTTTTTCCGAGTTCACGTGGTTTGAGATAAGTAGATCCTTTATCGTCTTTTCTTTTTCTCATTGTTATGGAGGGATTGAGTAAATTAATGAAAAAGGCAGAGAATCTGGGTTACATAAGGAGGTTCACTGTTGGTAGAGATGCTACTAACCAGATCGAGATATCCCATTTGTTGTTTGCAGATGATACCCTGGTTTTCTGTGATGCTGATGTTTCCCAGCTCAGGTATTTGAGGTGCATTCTTACATGCTTCCAAGCTGTGTCTGGTATTAAGATTAATGTTGGAAAGAGTGTGCTTGTCCCAGTGGGGGAGGTCTCTAATATTTCCACTTTAGCTGCTGTTCTTGGATGTGGAGTGGGTGCCTTTCCACTCCCTTATCTGGGCTTACCTTTGGGAATCTCCTCTAGGATAGTGGGGACCTGGGATCCGGTGATTAACAGGTATGAAAAAAGATTGGCGGGGTGAAAAAAACAGTATCTTTCGAAAGGGGGGAAGGTCACTCTTATTAAGAGCACCCTCTCGTCCCTTCCCACATATTTCTTATCTCTATTCCAGATCCCGTGTTCTGTTGCTGAAAGAATTGAAAAAATTCAGAGAGATTTTCTTTGGGGTGGAAAAGGAGAGGAGTTTAAGTATCATTTTGTTAGTTGGGAGCAGGTTTGTAAACCATTGAAGTTTGGCGGTTTAGGTATCCGGAAGTTAGTCCCTTTCAATAGAGCTTTATTGGGGAAGTGGTTATGGAGATTTGGTAAAGAACGTCATCGACAATGGAGAAGAGTTATCTCGTGTCGTTTTGGGGAAGAGAGTGGAGGTTGGTCCTCTCGTCCTATTTCTATTACCGAGGGCGTTGGCGTTTGGAAGTTCATTCGGAAAGGTTGGGATGTGTTTTCCACCCATATTCAGTTCAAGGTTCGTAATGGTATGTATGTTAGATTTTGGGAAGACTTATGATGTGGTGATCAGTTGTTGTCTCTTTCTTTTCCTCGTCTCTTTAGCATTGCCGAGAATAAGCATGCTTATGTAATTGATTGTTATCATCTTGATAACAGTGGAGTTACGTGGCATGTGCGTTTTAGGCATTCCTTTCAGGATTGGGAGATAGCTGAAGTTTGCGTCTTCTTGGACCTGTTGTATAGACAGAAAGATGTTGGCAAAGGTTGTGATGATATTTTGTGGACTCCCTCTCTTCATAGTAGATTTGAAGTTCGATCCATGTTCTTGTGTTTGTCTAATTTTATTGGATATGATTTCCTTTGGAAGTGTATTTAGCGCTCTAAAGCTCCTCTTAGAGTTGCCTTCTTTGTTTGGACTGCTACTTGGGGAAAACTTTTAACATTGGATAATCTGCGTAAGAGAGGTAATACCATTGTTAATTGGTGCTGTCTTTGTAAAACTGATGGTGAGTCCGTGGACCATCTTCTTATGCATTGTGCTGTTGCATCTGATTGTTGGAATCTCATATTTAGTATTTTTGGCGTTCAGTGGGTAATGCCTAAGCACTCTTTCCAATTAATTAATGCTTGGAGAAGATGCCCTGTTTCTGGTCATGCTCGTGATTTTTGGAGGGTCGCCCCACATTGTGTTTGGTGGTGTATTTGGAGAGAGAGAAATAACAGAAACTTTGAAGGGAAGGAATCGTCTTTTGCAAACCTTAAGTCTTTTATCCTACGCTCTCTTTTTCTGCTATGTCAGAGGCAACACTTGCTCCTCGATTGATGACTTTTTTGTTCTATTGGACTCTGTTGGTCCATAGGTTTGGCTTTTGCTCTTTCGTTTTTGTGTATTAGGGACGCGTTCCCCTTTTGAACGTCTTTCTAATATATTTTTACTTATCAAAAAAAAAAAATAACTTATGACTTCCTCTTTATGGATAAGCCTCAGTGTTGACTAATAGCTACAGGACTTCATCTTTGTACGGATAAACCTCAAGAATGAACCCCAATAAAGAGCTCAAGACCTTCGGGGAGCTCCTCTCAACAGATAACCCCAAGGAAGAACCCAAGGCCCTAGGGGATATCCTATTTACAGGTAAACCCCAAGGAAGAGTTCAAGACCTCCAAGGAGCTCCTGTCTACAAATAATATCCGGGGAAGAACCCAAGGCCCTTGGGGAGCTCCTCTCTACAGATAAACTCTGAGGAAGAGTTCAAGACCTCCGGGTAGTTCCTCTCTACAGATAAATCCCAAGGATAGCCCAAGGCCCTTGGGAAACTCCTTTCTACTAATAAATTCGAGGAAAAGAGTGCAAGACCTTTGAGGAACTCCTCTGTTGTGGTTTGTGTAGGGCACAACCTTATGGAACTTTTTCCTCGATGGATACTAATGTTACGTTTGGTGTGCAGGAATGGGATGAAATGGAATGAAATGCCCATTCCAACCATTCCTTTGTTTGGTACGCAATTTAAAGTGGGAATGGTCATTCCATTGGAATGAAAATCCATTCCATAACTAAACTTATGGAATGACCATTCCAATCCCAAGTAAATTTTTTTTTAAAATAAACTCCCCAAAAAAACCTCATGTTCCAATTCCAAAAATCACCACCACCTTCCACCATAACCACCTCCGCCTTTCACCACCACCGCCGCCGCCGCCACCGACTTTCACCATCGCCCACCGCTTACCACCGCCACCGCCACCACTGACACCGCCTTCCTTTGCCGCAACCGCCACCCAGCTGCCACCGCTACCGCCACCACCACCGCCATTGCCTTTCACCACCGCTACCGCCTTTCACTATAGCCACTGCCTTCCACCACCACTGCCTTTCACCACCACCACCACACCGCCTTCCATCGCCATTACCTTCCACCTTACACCACCACCACCGTCTCCGCCTTCCGCCGCCGCCGCCACCACCTTCCAACTCCTTCCACCGCCGCCACCGCCTTCCATCACCACCAACGCTACCGCCTTCCACCACCGTCACCATTGCCTTCCACCACCACCACAGTCACTTCCATTGACTTCCACCATCGCCACATACACCCCCTATCTCCTTCCACCACCACCACCACAATATTGCCACCACCTTCCACCAACACCACTGCCGCCTTCCACCAATGCCACCACCTGCACCACCACCGCTTTTCACCTCCACCACAATCCACCACCGTCACTCCCACCATTTATTTTTCTAAAATTATTAGAGAATGTCATTTTGTTAATTTAATTTATTTGTTACTAAGAGAGATATTTTGGAGAATTCAATTTGAAATTTATTCCATTCTAAATCTTAAATTGGTCCAATCAAACACTAGAATGGTTATTATTATTCCATTCCTACACATTTCATATTTACAATCAAACAATAGAATGAGAATGGCCATTTCATTCCATTCCCATTCTCATTCCATTCCCACTTGCATTCCATTTTATTCCTGCACACCAAACGCAGCATAAACGTATTGGCATGGTAACTAAGCACTAGAGGGAAGCTAAGAGACACCCATTGCGAATTGACCATGGGGTGCCTCTCAGTTGGTCACAATGGAAGGAAGGGGGGGTGATATCTTGCTTGCATTTAATGAGATTGCCCTCTAAGTCATAGTCAGCATTAAATGCTTAATCCCTACTCCGTCGAACTAATTGATCTCTTCATAGCGTGTAGGATTTGCAACTAATTAGGTAAGCAATTGTGGGGTAATCACTTGGATCAACGGTCCTTGTCCAATGATAGAGTAGTATAGAAGGAGTGAATGGCATGAAGAATGATAGTTAGAAGAAGAAAGAAAAATAAATACTAAGCACTCTGACTCTATAGAGATCACCAAAGCTAAGCCCCACGACCCTCTTTATCGCTCCTCTAGGCAAGGACCGTGTGAGACAGCTCAGTGCCTCCACCTAAGACTCTATTTTTTGGTACTCCCATCGTTGTTAGAGTGGTACCCCATCATCCCAAAGCCTGATATCAACAAAGATTTATTTGACATAGGACCAATGAGAAGTCAATGTAGATATCTTTTAATTTATAGTCTTATTGAGCGTTGTTTCTTATAAAATTCAGGGATTTTTAGTTCTACAGAAAATTTCAAGGGTTCTAGGAACATAATTTGGGTTCATATTCTCTGGGTTAAAAATAGAAGGTACTTCGTATTTTTAGAGTTTGCAAGGCCTATTAATAAGCCTACAAGGAAAAAACACAGTAGACTTAAAGATGGGTCATTATAAGCATTTATTAAGAAGAAGAAAAAAACATTCACCACTTATTTGCCAGCCAAATGCTAAAAGAAATTAATGCAACATCAAGAACAATACAATGAGACCACTACCTGTTAACTTTAGTGGCATCACCAGCCCACCCCAGAGAAGATGATGCAAGATTCAAGTCTCAGTTAGGATGCAGGTGTGTGTCTTAATAATATTTATAACAACAACAACAATGATGATGATGATGCTAGTTCATACCACAAATAGTCTGTACAGCTGGTCACGAAAAAAATACGAATTTGTAAAGTAGCCACTACAAGATAACCACTATGACCAAGCAGCTCTTGCTAAGTTGGTTTCAGAATCAGGAAGATGATAAAAAGGATTTGTATTCCAGTATACTTCACGTAAGCTTTATCACCATTCCGACCGCCCCATCCCCCAAGAACAAAAAACAAACACAAGGGAAGAAAATATTATTGTGGAGTAAAACATGTAGGTAAGTGTTGTAACTCTCATAAAAGTGCAGCAACTGAAGAATGCTAACAGGCATACAAACCTTAGATAGAAAACCATTAAGAGACAAACCCCCTAATGCAGCTGCAGTATCGTTGTAAGGAGCTTCACCCCAAGGACTGAAATTCAAAACATACACAGGAAATATAAGAAAAAGTACAAGGCACATTTAAGCATGAAGGTCAACAGTAAAGACCAGTGTCCACAAACATCTCATTTCCCAACATCACCAGTTTAACGGAGAGTCATCAAAGAGATTATGGGAAGTGGAGCTACTCACAGAAGTAGTGAAGACCAATAGTACAAGTAAACTTAAATTTTACTAATTATCACAACTGCCTGAGCAAGTATTTTACAAATAAAAAGAGAGAAAAAAAAAAAGAGAGAGAGACTATCTTTGAAATCTTAGGTACCCTATATGTGTATTGGATATAGTTTCCATAAATTGTCTCTGGTTCTTAGTCATTAAAGTTACTCGAGACATTAACATTCACTTGTTTGTCAATAAAGAAAACAAATATAGAAAGAAAAAAAATGAAGAAATTTAATTATAAAAAAGTAAAAAACTGCCATGCATGTTTGTGTGTCAATGTATAAAATATCACCAGATAAAACACTTACCAAAAAATCAACAGAAAAAAAAAAATACATGCATGATGTATTTTCAAATGATATAGATACAGAATGTGAAACAAATAAGTTGGTTGAAGGCCATTATCAGTTTCCTTTTACAACTAGTGATGAGATGCTAATGCACAGAAAGATAAAATCCCACTAATGCAAAATGCTGATCTTTGTTACAAAATTAGTTCCAACTCTCAGCCTAACTATAACCAAAAAACCCCTCCCCCTTCAAAAGAGAGCACAACAGAAACACACACGAAAGAGCCTGTGTAAACCAAACCATGCATTGTCCATTTAAGGAATCCATATAATCATAATAGGATTCTCATGGTGCAAAGAATAAGCTTAAAATCAAATGATCGAAAGCATTCAAACATGCTACTTAATGTGAACTCAATTTACCCAAACCAACTGCAGGATAAACAGAACATTATGCAGAGTTGGTGTAGCCTGTAATTTTTCAGAAACATTATTGGAGTGTATTTCCACTGCCTTAACGATATGATTGAAGTTAAATGATATAACACATCCTGCAAAATTTTATTAAAATACAGTTTTTCTAAAAAATTACATGAGTAATACGATTAGGGTTGATGCTTTGTGATGTTGATATGGTGAGAAGAAATCGTTTAACTATGACATGTTCTTCATACTTCGTCTATCATACAGACTCGTAAAAAAGTGAGTCATATAAAAAGAGAAGAAAGAACGAGAAGTAAGAATGGGATCCTAATCCATTTGCAAAAGTGAGTCATATAGAAAGAGAGGAAAGGAAAAGAAAAAAGAAGAGGATGTGATCCTAATTCATTGCATATGTAGTACATCATAACTGAAAAGTTCGAAACAACCAAGAAATATAATAGATCAGCGATGCAGAGGTCCTAATTATGTTTGTAATGCTAGGGAGTTATAGATATAAAGTATCATCTACAAACACCCCAACAACAACAACAAAAAAAAAAGAGTTTAAAATTCAACATTTACAAGCAATTTATGGGGTAAAATTCTTTATTTTGAAGAGCTAGAAACTAACTACTATGCTATGGCGTGGATCATACAAGCTCTCCTCCTCAAAGAAGAGGTGAGGGTTCGAGTTTTATAGTGGGCACATACAATTGAAAGCGTATTTTCAAGAGATAACTTAATAATTTTGCAGCCAACATGGACCGTTAATATTTTCAGTGCATTAAGCAATATTTGCTGACATCAACCTGAAATTCCCCATGGGAAGTAACAGCTGAAACATTGATCATAATATTTTCATACTTTTCCATCCATCAATAAAGAAGGGCAACAATACCATGCATGAATACACAGCATGGAAGTACTTCGATACATGCATTCGTGTGTTTTTCTGTATAATTATATATCATAACATATCAAATAAAGGGAAGGAGACCAAGAAAATATTGCTTAACAAAACCAACTCACCTTTCTGGTGCAGTTGAAAATAGATCATCAAGTTCAAAGTGATTTAGGACTCCATCCTATTAAGCACAAAGGTTCACAAATTCAGAACTTCAGTATGCGTATGGTTAGAATTGTAAAAACATAAAAATCCTAAATTTTAGAGTCAAATTGCACTACTGCTAGATAATTATACTATATTAAGGCACATAACTAAGAATCACAGAACATGAAATCCTAAATTTGAAAACAATTTCTATCATGCAAGACAGTATTTTTTTTTTCCCTGATAAGTATCTATCATGCAAGACATAATTTTTTTTTCCCCTGATAAGTATATCTATCAACCACTTAAATCCTAGAAACTTAGAGACGATGCAAGATGAAAGAATATTTTGGCATGTTAGAACGCTTCTTAAAAAAAAAAATTAAAAAAAAAAAAAAAAGGAAAAGGAAAAAAAAATACTAATTACTTGCATTCAAATTTTATTTTTCCCTGAAAGAATTTTTTTCAGAAGAAAATGTAACAAAGATGCAGCATTCCAATTATGAAAACCATTGAAGTGCTTGAACCAAATGAAACTTCAACTGTGAATTACCTGACAATGACTAATATATTTAGAGTAAATGGAAGAAGAAAATGAAGAATTGATAAAAATAGAAAGGAAAACGAAAGTTAGCTATATAGATTGCTAATGCCGCATTAGTTGTATGTTACATTACCCGGACTTGGGTACGGGTGCGTGTCTAGGTGTCAAATGACTCAAATCCTTCTAATCGTCAAAATCTGGGATATGGACACAAATAATGTGTCAATAATCCTTGAAATAATGGTTATACTATTTAAAATGTTGAACTAAAAGTAAGGGTATAATTGAAAAGGAACATAAAATATTGGGTAATTGTAAAAATAAATATTATTTTAGATATTGTTTAAGAGAGAAAAATTTGGGGGCACGCACAATTATAGGTCAACCTTTTTAATTGTGTCCAAATTATCTACAATTTCCTGTCTTTTCTAGAGATGATTTAAATTCAATGGCGGTGCAAACAAATTTATGGCTCTTGTAGAGAGATGACTCAAGGAGGCACTAATTAAATCAGAAACGAAAATCTGACATACAAAAACAATAAAAGGGCCAAGACAATTTTCTTTACATAGTACTTTTAAGAGGAACATGCATGATGATTTTAATTCAAAGATAAACCAAATAAAAAGAAATTGGACATCTACAACGTGATAGAGAATCTATCAATAAGAACATGAGAAGAAGTATGGCAAAGCCTTATAAGTACCTTATTAACATCGAACAAACTGAAGATTCCCTTCAAAAACTCAACAACTTCACTTGTCAACTCTATACTCTACAATAATGCATTTAAGAGTAAGTATGTAGTTTATACAAATAAATTATTATGAAAAAATTATGTACTAAAAACTTTTTTTTCCCAATTAAAAAAAATTCCTATTGGGAGGTAACCATTGCATTGCCAACTACTAAAGTTATAATATGATTCAAAAAAACTGAGTTATAAAACTAATTATATGCTTAAAGCGAAGTTCTTTCTTGCACTGAATAAAAACAAGAACAAGGCTCACCAGCGTAAAAGTTTATAACAAGGGCAAGATTATGACGATCAAGTATTAGCTCAGTAAGAGAGATACCTGATCAGGAGCTCTCTTAAATGGAACTGTAAGATAATTATCCCTGAGTTTAATATCATCATCATAACCAAATTTCCTTAAGACAGTCCATGTCGTCTCAACCCGCCCTTTTTCTATAAAAAGAGAGTGGAGAAAAATAAATCCGGTCAGTGTAAGCCCAAGGTCACTGACACCTTGAGGTAGTTTCTCTTGTACAACTCTTTTAACACCCACTATTTCAGCAGGCTGTAATGGAGCATTGAAACATTTAACCTGTTCACCAGGATCATAAAATCATACACAACATGTAAGGCATGAGATACTAGCATTGTATGGAAACAAGTCAACCACTCAACCATCACCCCCCAAAAAAATTTTAAATAAAATAATAATAATAATAAATAAGAAAAAGCGAAAGTTCAAATTTTCAACTACCAAAGAAAACAAATATACGGGTGTGTGGTAATAAAAGAAAAACCTGAAAATCATTCAGCTCTGCATCATTGAGGGCACCATCCATATCCTGATCGCAAAGAATGAATATCCGTTTCAATGCTCTCATGCACCGTGGTGTCAAGGACTGGGAATCTTTGTCAAACAATGGTGCTGTTGGATGGAGTACTGCTTTTTGAGCATAATAGAATACTTCAGGTACCTGCAAGAGACTGAGAGTGAAAAAAGATACCAAAAACTTTCAGATTTCTAACATTGCTGAAAATTAAACAAGAATGACGACTTCCATAATTGAGATTTATCTTATTGCAATGCCAACACAATGTTTTGAACTCATAATTTAATGTTATTATATAAACTATAAATAAAGGAAATTGAAATCAATATCATAAAGTAAAAACGTACACACATGCAATCAGAATGTTCTTATTTATGAACAGCAACAAAAAAATTATTGCAACATGCTAACTAATTGCATATTTTTGACTGAGAAACCTGAACCAGGTTAGCCGCAGAACATTCCATACAAATCTCTATTTCCCTAAATTGTTGCATGATTGGTGTCATCACGTGCTGTAGATTCATTTGGTATTGCTCGTCTTGCAAATCTAGTTTGCAACCAACTACAATCACAGGCACCTTCACCTATCATGAAAAAATTGACAAGTATGCAGACATACATACATAAATTAATATGTGAATATATATATATATATATGAACCAAATGTTAACAAAATGCGTGAATCGCAAACCTCTAATCGATCAAGTTCGTAGAGCCAAAAGGAACTCAGACGACTAAGTGTTGCAGGCAGATCACAAGCATATGTCAGCACTACCACATCGGCTCGCTTCAATTCTTCAGCAAGCTTACCTCTACTCTCCAAACTAAATTCAAGATTAAATTTAAAAGGAAAAAAATAGAAAGAAAACCCATATTTCAAGATTCAATAATTAAATCGATAGATTAATTTAAATATATATAGAGGAGCAGTATATACATGTACAGACGCATATATGCGAATAATTATCAAAACCTGGATGAAGTATCGATGATTGTAACGGGTACGCGGTCGGGATAAAAATCGGCTGGAAGGCGAGTGGGAGGCAAAACGTGAGCAACGTTTGCCGGAAAGGTCTCGGAAGCCGCGGCGGCGATCAAGCTTGATTTGCCGGTGGCGCGGTCGCCGACGACAACGACGCGAACGCCGGCGCGGGAGTTTTTAAAGGAATCACTGGGCATTGAAGCTGCAATGAAAGAATTCAAGAACGTGAGAGACAAGTGAAGTGAAATGTATTCGATGATTGTTTTAAGTGAGACGTTAGAGCGCTTGGGGGTTTCACCATTCACCGGGTGGAGTAACCGTTAAAGCCTTAATTTGTTTTCAGGTAAAGTACAGTTACACCCATGGTAGGAAAAAGAACACTCAGGCGTAACTTATTTATTTTTTTTGGACAAAAATACTATTTAAAAGTTTAAAAATAGACAAAAACACCTTATTTATATAAAAAATTAACTAAATTACCCTTTAATCATTTTGGAGACCTTTTTTAACTTTACAATTTTATAAATTGGACCGATCTACCCTTATGAATAATTTATGCATAAAAAAAAGTAATAAACAAAAAAAAGGTGAACAACATAAAGTTTTTTTTTTTTTGTTATTTACTTTATAAATATCCCAACTTCTTAAAAATATAGACGTCTAAAATAATTTTTTTTATCCAATAAATATATTTTAAATAAATTATATTTTGTTATTACTTCTTTTCTTTTTCTTTTTTATTTTTAAATTAAGATGCTTAATTATTTCATCTAAAAAAATTAAATCAATATATTTTCCTTAAAAATAAAAAATATGGTAGCAGTATAACTTTATGCATCTTAAATTATATATAAAATATTATGCATTTCTCAACATAAAAGGGAAAAAATAATAATAATAAAACAAAGGGAAAAAATTTAATAAAATAAAGGGAAAAAAAAAAAAAACAAAGACATGCATAAAGTTAAGATACATAAAGTTATACTAGTACCTATTTTCTTTTATATTGGGAAATGTATAATATTTTATATATAATTTAAGATGTATAAAGTTATACTAGTATCATATTTTTTATTTTTAAGAAAAAGAGATTGGTTTATTTTTTTAGACGATATAATTAAGTATCTTAATTTAAAAATAAAATAGAAGAAGTAAAAACAAAATATAATTTATTTGAAATATATGTATTGAATCAAACAATCATTTTAAACGTCTACATTTTTTAGAAGTTGAGACATTTATAAAGTAAATAACAAAAAACAAAAAACAAAAAAGTGAACAATATAAAGTGTTTTTTTTTTATTTATTTATTTTTTATTTTTTTTATGCATAAATTATTCATGAGGGTAGATTGGTCCAATTTATTAAATTGTAAAGTTAAAAAAAGTCTCATAAATGGTCAAAGGGTAATTTGGACAATTTTTCATGTAAAGGGGTGTCTTTGTCCATTTTTGAACCTTAAGGGAGTGTCTTTGTCTAAAAAACAGGCAAGTTTTCTCTGAATGTCCTTTTGTCAAATATCAGGGGGCGTGTACTTTACCCTTATTTTTAAGGGTAAAGTGTAAAAAAAATCTCTAATTTGTAAATAATCTCTATTTTTTTTTTCTATTTTTATTAAAAAAAAATTATAAGTAAAAATTTTAATTTTATACTAAATTATTTTTATTATCTTTTCTTTTATCTAAATATTAATTATACTATTTACTTTAATTTTATTATTAGTACCAATTTATCATAAAAACGAAAAAAATAGATTTCTAACTATGGAGTATTATTTTTTGAAATGATTAATTTATTATTTATTATAATTAGTTTAAACTTTTTTATTGTAAAAAAATTCTTTTTTTCAGATAATATATTGATAAAAAATTAATAAATTACTTAAATATAAATAATTTATTTTAATGTAATATATTTATTAAAAATTAAAATTTTAATTATTATTTTTAAATACTAAAGATTTTTATTTAAATAATTAATTTAGAAATAAAAGGTAAATTTATGCAAATTTAATGGACAATATGTCATTAAATTAGTATGAATTTTTTTCATAATTTATTTAAATAAGAAATATAAATTAAGTATAATTCAATAAGAATGGTCATTATGGTCATTTAATGAAATATAGTATAAGTATTGGGAAATTTTACAACAAAATGATAATTTAAGGAGTATTATGTACAAATATAGTTCAAGATGTTATTTACAAATTAAAACATAGTTCAAGGGTTTTCTTTACCCCTTATTTTTATAGTAATTCTCTAATATTTAAATATACTTTTTTTTTTTTTTGGCTACTTTTTTATACCTGTTAAATATAGAATATTATATACTAATAGCAAAATAAAATAATTTATTTATATTTTACTGAGTACCAAATAAATAAATAAAAATAAAAGAAAAGAACAATAGCAGCGTAACTGCCATAACCTTTTTTTTAAAAAAATAATAATAAAAAACAAATAAATAAATAAATAAAAATAAACAAATTACTATATTACCTTTAGGCTTGATAACATTAGTTATGAGAAAAAATAAAGTAAAGAAAATGATAATAATAGTTTATATTCATGTTTGGATAGATATGAGAGAAAAAAAATGAATGAATAACATTCTTGTTTGGATAAAACAGAGGAAAGAAAATAAAAGAAAGTATAACAATCAGATTATTATATTACCCTTTTGTATCTAATATAATATAAAATAGCTTGTTTTCAAAGCTTAAATGCTCCATCAGCTCCAACATTTTTGTTCTTATCAGGGTGGAGCAAGACAGCCATCCTGTACTGTTTCTTCAATGTAGCCTTGGTCGCAGATGGTTCCAATCCAAGAATGGAGTAAAAGTCGATTTCTCCATTAACTTTAATTGCAGAAGCAATATATACTTCAAATGTTGCCACCAACTAAGTTATACCCTCTAGTTCGAAGAGCGTCCTCTTTATGTGGTTCCATGTAGAATTTCAGGACTTCAAAGCCAAATTCGCGAAACAAAATCCATGACAAGTCCAAAAGTCTTAATTGTTGAAGCTGAACTGCAATGCATAACCAAACATGTAATGTTTGGTGGTAAATTTTTTTAAGTATTTTGTAGTTTCAAGCTTCAAATTATTATCAACAGCACCAGCATTTGAAGAATTCACATCTTAAACTAAATAAAATTTCTAGAAACAAAATCAAATAATTCTCAGTGAGAATGAACTAACTAAAATGCTAATGCAAAAGCCTTTTTTAAGTATACCTTTTTAAGGAACTCGATTCCAATTATACAATTTCAATCTCTACTCTAACTTAGATATGGAAATTAAACCCAATTTATAACAATTTTTTTAAGGAATTCAATTCCAATCATCTATCTTTTTTTGGTAAATCGCAGTTATCGAAAGCACAATCTGGGCTTATGAAAATACTAAAAAATGAAGATCACCATACAGAAAGAAAAAGAAAATAATCCAAAAATTGATTCAAAAATAGCAAAACTCTAACTTGAATGTCGGAGCTGGAGAAGAGGCGAAGCCGGAACTAGATAAGAGGAAAAGCCAGAGCTAGAAAAGAGAAGAAACCGGAGAAGCAACAGACGTGAGAGAAGACGCGCTAGAGAAGCGGCGAATCTGATTTGTCTTAATATTGTTATTAGGATTGACTTAGGACTTTAATAAAATATAAATTTTGTATATAGAATTTTGAAGGCTAATTTTGTCTTTAATGAAAAATTTACTTAACTTGTTTCTTTTCCCTTCAAATCTTGTCAAAATTGGAGGGATCTAAATCCTTTCCAATTATTTATTTTCTATATTATATTATTTTCATCCGAACATACTAGTTACTATCTTTTCATTTCTTTTCTCTCAAAATCCCTCAATCCAAACGATGTGTAAATAACTAGTGTTCTAAACTCATATTTCATGAAGTCATACAAACTTGGGTATCATTCCATGATCCTGAACCTCTATTTATAAATTTGATTACAAAGTGTTCACAAGTAGAACGTTTTACTTTAAAAAACTTATGTTCAAACACGATTTGTATATTAAATAATAACAAATTAAACTTTGTTAAGTTGACCCTAATTATTTGTATAATCTTACCAACTTTTAAGAAAAATACTTTTAAAATATAGGGTAAAGTACAAAAACACCTCACTAAATTATTGTCCTTTTGTAAATAATCCCATGAGCTATTAATTTATTGCCATTAAGGACAAATTCATCACAAAATTACTATTTTACCGCTTCTTATTAAAATTGTCATTTCTTATTAAATTTTAATTATATTCTCTTATTATAAAATTAATTATACTATTTACCTTAATTTTATAATTAGTATCAATTTATCATAAAAATAGAAAATAATAAATAGATTAGTAGCTACCATTTTCTAAAATGATTAATTTATTATAATAAAACTTATTATACTCACTTAAAATAAATTAGTGTAAAAAAATACTTTATTTTTCATTCAAAATTCATGAAAGTTTATTAAATTACGTAAATAAAAAAATATTTTTTATGCAATATTAATAAATTAAGTAAAAAAAAATATCTTCTTTTTTATGCAATATATTCATGAAAAATTAAGAAATTACTTAAATTATTTGAAAATGTTCTACTTAATATTTTTATTTAAATAATTAATTTCAAATTTGAAGGCAAAATAATGCAAATTTAATGAAGATTATTTAATCAAATTAGTATGATTTTTTTCGCAATTTATTTCAACGAGAAAAATAGATCAAGTGTAATTCAATAAGTAATGATATTATGGTCATTTAATGAAAAATAATCAAGGCAATGGAGCATTTTGTAACTAAATGTGATAGTTTAGGGGGTTTTATGGGAAAAAAAATACTTTAGGAGGGTTATTTGAAAATTTAGACATAGTTAAGGGGAGTTTTTTGGACTTTATCCTATAATTTATTTCAATTACTCCTTTTTTTTTTTTTTGGACTTGATTTGTCTCCTATCATTGAGATTTTGCTCAATTAAAATTTATATTTGATCTTATTTGTTAATCAAAATACTCTCCAGCACCACCTTCCCACAATACTTTCTCTTTTAAAGCTTTATGACAAATACTTTACAATTTTTATTACAACTACTTTGAAAAATTGCCATCATTACTTTGAAATAAAAGTAATTGATGTGCTGAAATTCAAGCTATAAAACGATGTCAATTTGGTAAATGAAAGGAATGAACTTTTTTGTGTTGTTTGGTCTACATCGATAGGTATTGGGGTTGGGGAGAGAGTCATAGAAATTTTTTATCCAAACAAAATAGTTGAGATTCAAGTTTATATTTTAAGCTTTATATTTTTTTTCAATAAATGTGTTAAGGTATTGTCAATATGTTAACTTTGTACATTTACAAACAAAATATTAATTTTTTTTATTAGAGTTTATGTGAATTTATAATATATTTTTTTATCAAATTTGTACTTAAAACTCAAAATTACCTAAACAAATTTAAGTTGAATTTGGGTATGAGATTAAATGCTAAGTAACAGCCAATTTTTCTGTAAAATAAAAGGTTGCCAAATTTTCTCTAAAATAGAAGGTTGGGACTTGGGAGTAAAGTAATTGCAGGAAAAAAGAAAAAGAAAAAGAAGTGAATGTGTGAGTTTATTTGACAAGATAAAAAGAAAAAATTAATAATAATAATAATAATAATAATAATAATAAAACGAATAACTAAAAACCTCGGCGCGGGTAGTCTTGATTAAAAACCCTGACCACTGAACAAACGGCGAACATAACGTAGGTTAAAATGTTGATCCGCTGCGCCCGCACAACCTTCGCCGCCGTTCGGCATTTCTCCGCGGAAGCGACTGCTGCGGCGGCGAAGCCAGCATCGACGGGCGTCGTAACCAGCACCGCCAAGACCTCCGGTGGCCGAGACACACTGGGCCGACGACTTCTAAGCCTCATTTACACAAAACGCAGCGCCGTTATCACTATAAGGAAATGGAAAGAAGAAGGGCGTGTAGTCCGCAAGTACGAACTCAATCGCATCGTCCGAGAGCTCCGAAAATTCAGGCGTTACAAGCACGCCCTTGAGGTTTGTGTTCTTTTATCGTCCTGCTTTCAAAACCTCAGTTGCTCTCTAATGCATATTTGGATTGTATATACTTGTGTTTGTAAATATTTATGCATTCACATACATTTATGGTTATTTCAATTTATTATGTAAGGTGATTCTCGGTGATTTCAATTTTATTACATATTGATTATTGAAATCGTTCGTTCATCATTGAGGATGGAGTAAAACTGTATTACTTTGCACTTGGTACATGGTGATATAGAGATACGTTCGATACTTCGAATTTTTGAGTATCAAAATTGGTATTGAACATTTTATCTTAGAATGCTATGTTTAGTATTGTAGTTTGTCTAAGATTTGCTCACTAAGCATCAAATTTAGTCAAAGCTGTCTTTTGCTTACTAGGCATTGAATTTGCCATTCGTGGTTTTAATCAATAGCAGTAGTATTGATGTACAAAAAGGTGTGGCAATTTTAATTTTAAGTATTTTGTGAAACCATCAGTAGGTGGTGGAAAATCCCACTAACGACTAGGATGATTGTCCAGTGGTAGGGATAATCCTTTCCAAGAAGTAATTATTGTCTCAATGAAGATATTTTTACTTTCTAATTGGGATATAGCTTAACCGCAAATGGAAATAAAATTTGAGTAAGAGATTGGTAAACAATTTGGTCTCTTTTGAAGAAAATTTCATTGCATTCCTTATTGACTTCAATGCGTAAGATAGATCTTTGGATAGTAAACTAATTGAAGAGCTTAAAATCCTACAATTGAACAAGTGATTGTTAATGAAAGAACACATTGCTGGAAACTAAATTGTAAGGAATGTCGAGATATTTTAGAACTTCAGTTGATGAACTAATGTTGATGGGTTGAGCTGAAAATGTTTTGTTTGTGGTGCTTCTCCTAGTATACTTGTGTTCGGCTGGTTCTCTAGCAGTTTTGCACGTGTTTTTTCTTTTACAACCAGCAGTTTTGGCACGTAGGTTTGGTGAGGTAAGTTATTATTTCCTCAAAAGCTTGTTGATGGGTCCTTTCCATCTTAATTATTGATCATACCGAAGTTTTATGCTTGGAGAGAAGGTATATATCTTGCATGCACATCTGGAGATGCCTTTGGAGGTTAAGCTTCAACGATTGCCTTGTTTTTGTTTATTAACCTCAATTCCGTTCTACAGGGTATGAATTCCTAACAAATTGCCACCCAAAACTGCAAATGCATACTTCACAGCATTCGTGTTTAATTTGTGAGTTCTCATCTTTTTAATAGTTTTACCTAATCTATCACATGCTTTGTTGTAGTTTTTCAGTCAACCATGTCGTGGATGACACATTCATAGTCCTATGAGAATGCAGGCCAATTGCTATCACAACTCATTCAAAACTCCTAATCGATCTTGGATGCCAAAAAGTTGTTTCGGACACCTCTCTTATTCTGCCATCTAGATCTCTCTCTACCCAAAGTAGCCAGCTATAAAAGGAAAAAAATTCATGCTTGGCAGCAACGTCAACCATTTGATTGGTCACCAACAATGCTTGCTCATATTTTGGTGGAGAATTCTCAATTTCTCATTCTTTTTGACGACATGAACTATATTTCAAAGCCATTTAACATACTAGGCCGTTATGATAAACCCTGCCTTTAGAAAACGCTCGGTTTCTTCCTTGAATTTGATTTACTTCCTGGAAGACTGCTTAGATGGCCTAAAGCCTTTCTCTTACAGACAATCTACACTCCATCCTCCCCAATCTCATGGCAATCTACTTTAACTACCTCAATGAAGAAAAATATACTGTCTTGAGAATCATGTTCAAGCAAGGTCAATGACTTCTAAGAGTGGGTCTTAAACATCTGCTTTTAGGTCATCCCACTCTATTGGAACAGCTTCTAAGTCATTCAGTTGAATGGCTTAGTTGGCTGATAATTTTTCTTCCTATTGAATACACAAAGCCATTCAGGCTGAATTAGAATTATGTAATTCAGCCTTCTTTGTAAGAGATAGGACTTCAGTTTTGCTATACTGACTTTTTATGTCAACTAAGTACTGTTTCTTTTCCCTTTGCTGATCTATCCATGAAGTATCATATCGGAAAAGTCAACTACTGGTCTTTGATGCGTCAAATTTGGTCTTTGATGGTTCTTCATATGCATCTTAAAGTCATCATTGGTGCTAGTTTTCTGCAAATGCTCACAATAAACAAATAAATCTCTCTTTGTGTGTGTGTTTGGGGGGGGGGGGGGGGGGGGGGGGGGGGGGTTGGGGGTTGGGTGGTTCTGGTTAGGGCTGCAAACGAGCTGAGTTTTCGACGAACAGCTCAAGCTCGGTTTGCTAAGGGCTTGGTTCACGTTTGTTTATTTATAAATGAACCAAACGGTCCAAACTCAAAGAAAGTTTAGGTGTTTGATAAATAAACAAGCAAATCTCGAACACCCTTCAATTCTGCTCCTTATTTTGTGAACACTTTCATGAACATGCTTATTATTAGGCTTGTCAATAACTCAATATACACACACACACACATATATATACATAACTCAATAATTTAGGTCCATTCTTTTTATTTTAACTATAGAGTAGAGCTCATTTCAGTTCAACCCAACCCAATTCGATAACATTTATAATATGAACCAACTCTAAAAGAAAAACTCCAAGCCCATGTTCCCAGCTAACATAGGACAAATAGTAACCAAAAGTAAAGAAGGGGATGGGATGAAACTAGAAGAAAGAGGTGAGAACACAGACGAAGGAGATGAGAAGAATATTGAAGAGTATAGGTTGGAGAGACTGAGGGATTAAGAAAAAAAGAACACAAGGAAGAAGAAGACACAAAGGGAGAGTTTTCAAACTCACTAATATTATTCAATAATTCAAAACTGAATTATCTAATTACATATGAGCCTTTATATAGGCAAAACATAACCCTAAAATATTAAAATATCCCCCAAAATAGAACATTGTCAAAAATAACAAAAACTAAAACATAATTACATAATTACATCAAATCCCTAATTTCACCTATCTTTGCCCCTTCTCCTAAAGTAGAGGCGGAACACATGTGGCTCATCCCCGAATATCATAGCTCCTTCATCACCTGCCCATTCATATAATTTCTACACAACTCTCTCACCCCGTATCTTCCCCAACCACTAATTGGTGCATCCCTAGAAGAAAGAAGTGGCAACTCAGCAACAGCACCACCGGTGACAGTACTACCATGGCTGAATATAATACACGTTTTCTTTCACTCCTCTCTAGGTCGTATTTCTCCCTAATCTCTCACCTCTTTTTATTTCTCTCATACTGGATGGAAGAATCGAAGTGAATGTTATACATTAAGCTGAAGATCATAAGTAGGGTGGAGAATGGTGGCAATTTCTTGTACCATGTATATATTATCACTCACACACACACATACAATAACAACCCGCAACTACATTTTTTTTTCTACTTTATTGTCTTATCGAGCTGAGCTCAAGCATTGTCAAACATGGCCGAGCCGAGCTCGCTCATATGGGAGCTCGAGTCGAGATCGAGCCTAGCTTGAAGACTATGGCTACATGATCGAGCTGAGCTCGAACAGACCTCTACTCAGCTCAGCTCGGCTTGTTTGCTGCCCTAGGTTTAGTTCTCAACCTTGATTTAAAGCGAATTTGAAATTGTCTCCTCTATATGATCTGGCATTCCACAATTTTGTTTTCATGAATATATATTTAATCATTATTATGCCTTCTATTTATTGAACCCCATCAATCAATGTGACATTTAAGGCACGTTGTGAGGCCTGTGCCCGAGAATTGTTTCACATTGTTAAAAATGCACATTTCTTGTCATGAAATCTCTTCACAGGGAACGACTTGCTAAGTATTCATATATGCAGGCACAACGGATCTTATATGCTTTCCCATCATTATTCTATATAATGAATTGAAAGAAATTTCAAGAAAGGAATAATGTCACTGGATAGAACTGAAATAATTCCAAGTATTGTTTTTGAATAAACAAAAATAGAGACAAAATTTCTTTCTTTGGTCTCCGACTTTAACTGAATACTTTCCCTTGAAACTTCCAAGTTAACCCTTTCTAACAGTTGCTAGTTCAGCAAAAGTTTTAACCAAAAGTCATTCTCTTTAGAAGTTGCTTCTTGAACTCTTACAATTGCTATTGAGCCATAATTGAATGTTTGTCATAATAAAACGTGTTGAGTCTCAACAAAACAAGGGGGGCCCACGTACCATGAACGTGGCGCCCAGGTAGGCCTTACTAGCATGATAACACGTCATAGCTGAAAGACCAAAGGGAGGTCCCCGAGAAACACCTCAAGGATAACCACGTTCCAACCAGGGGACTCTTGAGCCGAAGCATAGGCTCGCAAGCATGAACCTTTCGAAAGCACTCTAGAAAGGAACTCCATCTGTGAACAAGAAGCGTAGCACAGAGCGAGACAAAGGTAGGTTGGTCTCGAGGGCTCGCAAATCTTCACCTTGGGACTCGGAAGGATCTTTGAATCGGAGGATGAGAAGCTAGAATTTGCCTTAGCTATTGGCCTAGCCAGTGGGATGGTGAACCATGTGCCTCGAACCTTCTAACCACATTAAATGCTCCCGGCTACCGCTGTCTTAGAAGAAATGGGTGCATTTTTTGCTGATGTAGAATTAACATGCAGGCCGAATGATGGCATGGCCAAAAAACCATTTTCCCTCTAGATCCGAAAGGATCATGATTGCCTCCTACGGACCTACAGTAGGTAAAGACTCTAGGCAGAGGCTTGAGAATTGTCCACTGGGTATTACCCAATAGTCTGAGACTATAATAGGACTCTCACCACTAATCTCATTGGCTAGTCTACTTCTTCTCCTTCCTCCTAAAGGTACTGACTGGGTCACTCAGATTTGTGTCTTTGATATCACCATTGTTACATATAATTAAATCACAGTAAAGAACCCCCACACATGTCGTATATTAAGTTGTTTTGTAGATCCTGAGTAACTGCAGCTATCTTATTCTAAAATTATCACAGTATCTATTTCTCGAATCTGGTTGGGGCACACTTGGATATGACTTGAAAATATTTCAGGATATTGAACCACTAAAGAAATTCCTCACTATATTATAGTTCAAGGTCTAAATCTGATTATTTATGCAGATATGTGAATGGATGAGAATACAAGATGATATCAAGCTATTACCGGGAGATTATGCAGTCCATTTGGACTTGATTGCAAAAGTTCGTGGCTTAAACAGTGCGGAAAAGTTTTTTGAAGATCTCCCGGATAAAATGAGAGGCCAGCCTACCTGTACTGCCCTACTCCACACCTATGTGCAGCATAAGGTGTCCTCTAAAGCAGAGACTCTAATGGATAAAATGGCAGAATGTGGGTTTTTGAAGTATCCCCTTCCTTACAACCACATGTTGTCTCTGTACATCTCGACTGGGCAACTCGAGAAAGTTCCGGAAGTAATTCAAAAGTTATTAGCTAACACTTCGCCTGATGTAGTCACTTATAATCTATGGTTAACTGTGTGTGCCTCTCAGAATGATGTTGAAACTGCAGAAAAGGTCTTTCTCGGGCTAAAGAAGGCAAAATTAGAGCCGGATTGGGTGACATATAGCACATTAACCAGCTTGTACATTAAAAATTCTCTGCTTGAGAAGGCTGCATCTAGTTTGAAGGAAATGGAGAAAAGGACTTCTCAGAAAGTTCGAGTTGCTTATTCCTCTCTCATTAGCTTGCATACGAGCATGGGAAATAAAGATGAGGTTGACCGCATATGGAAAAAAATGAAGTCATCCTTCCGCAAAATGAATGATGCTGAATATACTTGCATGATGGCTGCCCTCGTAAAACTCCAGAAATTTGAAGAAGCCGAGAATCTTTATACAGAGTGGGAGTCTGTTTCCGGGACTCGTGACTCTAGGGTTCCCAATTTACTTCTTGCAGCTCACATCAACAAAAACAAGATGGAAATGGCTGAGAATTTTTACAGTCGGATGGTTCAAAGAGGCATCATCCTTGGATACACCACATGGGAGCTGCTTACATGGGGCTACTTGAAACAGAAGCAGATGGATAAAGTTTTAGATTGTTTCAAGAAAGCTATTAGCTGTGTGAAGAAATGGAATCCTGATGAAAGGATAGTGCGAGAAATCTTCGGGAGCCTTGAAGAACAAGGCAATGTTGATGGGGCAGAGCAGTTGCTAGTTACACTTCGGAATGCTGGCCATGTGAATACAGAGATCTATAATTTACTTCTGAGAACATATGCAAAAGCTGGCAAAATGCCACTTTTAGTAACAGAGCGCATGGAGAAGGACAAGGTCCAGTTGGACGAGGAAACTCGTGAACTTATTAAATTAACTAGCAAAATGTGCATAAGTGAAGTTTCAAGCTGTCTTTCTTAAGCAGACACTGCAATGATTTGTTTTGAGGTAAGATTTTTACCCATTTCTCTGTCAAGTTGGATATATGTTTGTTTTGATTTCATAGCCAAGCAAAGTGCTGAATCTACTCTTCTGCATCAAGTGTGGATAAACAGAGATGATGATGTGCACAAAAATCTTTTATAGCGTAGGACTATTTCCAATAAAATTTTAACCTCTCATGTAGATAGTACTTGATTACCAAGAAAGGGCAAAGAAAAAGTAGCGGCCCTTGAGATATTATTTATGCTTTGGGTCAAGAAAAAGATGGCTGGTAGAAGATCTGCTGGACTTCCTACAACTACAATTTCTGTTATCAAAATAAATCAAGCAGAGAGTCTGGAGGACAACATTTGTTATGACCGTGCCTTCCATTTCAGGGAAACAGCTTGAGCATGGAGAGCTGATGGGTGGGAGGCCCTTTTGTTCCATGGGTAGTTGGGTTGGTGCGATGGTATGTTTCAGTATTTTTTTGTGTATTTTGATTTTCATCAAGTTATATTACCTGTTCCTTCACTTCATGGGTACCTTTTGTTTGGATTTCTGAAATAATGGATACGCTTGTGAACTCAATCAAACTAGCACAACTGGTTGTAAATTATAAATTGCCTTTTTGGTGACTGTCAGAATGATCAAATTTCTGGCTTTAAACTTATTTAGATATGATGTCATGTAGGCATATTTTTGTTTGGAATTATAGGAAGAAAACAAGAAGCAGAGAGGGACCAGGTTCACTTTCACTGCATTATTTTTGCAATATTAAGTGTGATGGTCATCAAGTAGCTAATGCTGCTGCCTAAAATGATTACAAGCAGTCTTATCAGATGCTGATTTTTGTCATGAATGCAACTCTCTTGTTTGTTCAAGATACAAAATAATTAGGAAATTTAGAGCTGTTTTGTTTAAGCAAGCTACTGACAGAAAAATTCATGTGTTTTCTTTCGGTAGTTAAACGTTCGTGTTTCAGTTTCCAGGATCCAACAATTTTGTGTTCTATTTTACATAATTTACAGAGATAAGATAGAAGCCAAAAGAAGAAAGGAAGATAATAATTTGTGTTCTTTTGTTTGATACTTGAAAGAGAGAAATTGGAGAAAAAAATAAATAAAAGAATAAAGAAGGAAAAAAAAGGGAAGTGTGGAGGGTGGTTTAAAATTCTGCTTGCATTGTTGAGACTAATAGTGGATAGTGTGTATTTTATATAGAAATTGATAAAATATTCACTGGTTGGAGAAGATCTCTAACCAATCCATTATAATTACACATATCCCCAGTCTCAAACTGGGTTAGGGTCATAGGGCTGGTAATTGTCATAACAACCTCATTAAGCTTAGATGCAAGTCATGTGTGATGTGTCCATAGAAGGTCCATTTTCCTAAACCAAACTCCAACTTGTCAAGATGTTGGTGGGTTGGTTTGGTGGCTAAGAACTAGCCGCTGCATATATGCCATAAAAATGATACGTAGGTCATCATCCTTCTTTCTCCAAGCAAATGGTAGATATGTATATATATATATATAGTATAGAATAAAAAATAAAATAAGAGGAGAGGTTTTGGAGCAATGAAGCCTTCCGAAGAATAACTGCAGCAACCAAAATTGAAAGAGGGGTTTACCGAACCCAACCCAACCTATCCATATCCTACGTCGTCTATTTATCTTTATGTACTGAAATGCCCTTCAGTTCAGGTATTGGTTGATTAATATTTGAGCATTATTGTTGTCATTTATACATATTGTTAGATGAGGACACAGGTAATATTTGAGCATTTTCTTGCACACAAAATTACTACTTTTGATTTTTATCTTTACTTAAAGGTTGTCATTTTTTGAGCTAGGGTTTAATCTAAAATGAGAAAACCATTTTTTATTATGTTGCACCATGTTTAATTGTAAGTGGAGAAAATTGGACATGAATTGATGTATGATCTAACACCAAAATTTGACAATTACTTGTAAACATTGTGTGAAGTGATTGCTACTAGTACTTAAATCTACCATTTCATTTCAACAAGTAATGACCTTGAAAAAAAAAAACCAGTATCATTTTAAAAAAAATTAAAAAAGGAATAATTAGAGCAAAAAGTACAGTACTATGTATGTACATCCATGAATATATATGGTAACCATTCAAAATCCGAAACTCAATCAAATCAAATGGAATTTGCAACATATGTAAAAGGAAAGTGCATTATTTTATTATGTAATTTGAACAAATTCGAACTCATAAGTAAACTAAATAAAGTAACGGTATACACATTAGTGAAAGCAGCTGGAATATGACTGTATTTTGTACGTATTGATAAGTTAACAGCTTACTTATTGAATGCAGATAATGCAAAATACAGTACATCTTCTGTGTACGTGTCATGTTTTTGATTGGAAACCTTTTTGTCAATAAAATTTTCAAAATTGAACAGACAAAAATCATAACTTGGTTTTATGGGTAATTCATGTCGAAAATCAAGGTTAATTTCATACATTTCGTATCTCTTATAATTGGTGACTCTGCGCCTCTATATGGCCCGTGAAAAACACGCTCATACTGTATAGTAGGGAAATTGTACTGCACGCGCCATGGAGAGCGTCAACAACTATATGGAAATATCACCATATCTAAACAATACTGTCTCTCTCTCTCTCTCATCCCCACGTAACTATAATTAGATATGTTGCAGGTTTGAAGTTGGACCTCGACAGCCTCTCCAATCCCATTTCAGAAAAAGAACTGAGTCTCTCTCTCTCTCTCTCTCTTCTTTCTCTCTCTAGAGTGGGGAAACAATTACAATGGCTGAAGAAGGGGATGTTGGATTCGAAGAAGGAATGTTGTGGCTTCCCACACCCGTTTTAGACGAGGCTTTTGATTCTAAGGTTTTCTTTCCAACTTAATTCTCAACTTCGTGCTACATTATTTCCTTTATATACTTATGTAGTTAAATTTTTTTTTTTTATGGGACAATTAATGAATCAATTATATGTAACCTTTGGCTTTAATATTTACTGTTTCATGGTTATATATAATATGATGTTTTCGTTTGATTTTAAGGAATATACGAGGTATCAGAGACACCGACCCGACTGTCATCGTCCCAAGTTACCCGCAGAACCAGTTCTAAAGGTACTAATTAATTTCACTCTCCTTTTCTTCTTTCTTTTCAAATTACTCGTTCATTCGTTAAGTCGATGATTCAATTCCCATATGATAGGGTGGGGGGTGTGTAAAAAAAAAAAAAATCATAATATTTCATATTCAAGTACTTCAAAGATCAAATGACTTATTTAGGGGGGGTTTTAAGAACTTTTTAACACCAATTTTCTAACGACTGAAATCGGGTTAGGAATTCAGATATATTCAGGAGTACATGTGTGTGTATATATATATACCTTTGCTTAATTTATCTCCTTGCATATCAGAACTGGATTGACTGACTATTATATATATATATATTGAAAGGAATGATATATAAATATAATATGTTTGAATATGATCAGCACTCAAAATGTAGCCTGAAACCATATGAGAGAGTAAGACATCCCGGAAACTGGGCAGCTGGTGGACCTGGCAATGGCATGCAAGCTATATTCCTAGATTCTGGACAAAGATCATGTGGGACCGGAGTTTTTCTTCCCCGAAGAGCAGGCACTCATGACCTCCAACCAGCCAAAAAGCCAGGTAGGTAAATCTTCAAAACGTACCTAGCTAGCTACCGTCTTCATCCGTTTTTATCATGTGTTAGTTCCTCTACCTAGCTACCTTCTTCATCCGTTTCCTGCAAATTAATTGTCACAGCCACCACAAATTAATTGAATTAATTAGCATTATCATTATATGCTGAAGCTAAAGTTGGGTGTGTATTTGTGTAATGAAAAAAAATTAGACTTCAGCGTATTTCTCTGTTATTTTAAAATTTATACGTACTACCTTTCGCAAACTATTGTACCTGTCTCGTTATTAGTTAATTTTAATACTTCTAAATAGATTAAAATATAATATAATATTACAAGGATAAAATTGATATTTTAAAACTCCAATTTGAGGCCCTGAAATTAAAATACTACATATTGAGGTATATAATTTGTAAAGTATCATATGGTACCGCTAAAAAACATTCTTTCTAATAGGCCCCTGGTACGAGGCTGGCCCATTTGTAAAGTATCATATGGTCTCCCTCTAAAAAACATTCTTTCTAATAGGCCCCTGGCACCGGGCTGGCCCATTATGTATATTTATATATATAAACAAATAATATTAATTTATAAATTATATAGCACTACCCGAATTGGTTTCTGTAGTACACAATATTAATTGTGAAGTCAATAATCAATATTATACATTAAAACCATCGGTTTAGTTGATTTTTTAATTTATTTTATCAAGTAATGTGTTCCCCTGAAATTAAATTGTGGCTCCTTCCCTGATTTATAGCTTGTTTCAATCTGCAGCTTGTCCTCCTGTTCTCCTCCCTTCCCGCGTTGTACAAGCTCTCAAACTCAACGTGCATGAACTAGGCATGCAAATTCAACCAGAGCGAGGTGTGTGTGTGTGTGTGTGTGTGTATATATATATATATATATAGCTTTCTCCAATTGTAAATTTGCGGTATCATTGACATTGTGTTTTATGTGCAGATCTAAACAAGAAGTCAAAAAGTGTAGATTGTGATTCAGTAAGCAATAAAATGAGCAAGGATGCATCAAAGCAGTGTTGTGTCATCTCACAGAACCGCAGTTCCTCGCCAGAGATATTTCTTCCAAAGGAATGGACTTACTAGCTTAGCTCTCTGGAACGTACCACCAAATTATCCATAAACAACAAAGGCATTTAGCTATATCATATGATCATGCAATGTAATTTAAATAATAACAGCAATAGGAATATCTCTAATATTCTTGATTTTTAATTTTATACTTGTAATTAAAGACTGATCACCAACAATACCAGTCAAATTCAAACGTCCTACCCACCCCACCAAGAGGGTAAAACGTACTTCAGTGCTTCAACTATTTTCTTCTCTTCCACTTAAGTTGTGATTAATTGCCAATTTTCCTCTGGTTTCTATGTACCTTATTGTCACTTCTAAGTTATGATTCTTGTGAACTTTGACATGCTATAAAGCTGCAACTTGATTTTATTTGGCGGGTTTGCGATTAAATCTTAGTTTAGCATAAGATCATAAAATCCTTATGTTCAATTTGGTAGGAAAAAAGAAAGTAAGAGGAGTGAAGGGAAGATAGGAAGAAGGAAATAAATTTATTTCGTTTGGCAGAGCGGATGTAATAATAAAAATAAAATAAAATAAAAAATGGTTAAGTCCTCCTTCACAAAATTTCGTCACTCCAAGTGAACTCGAGTAAAAGAGGTAATACTATTATAAAAAAAAATTAAATTACAAAACTTTCCTTATAGTTAACATATACACTCTTTTTTCTTCTCTCATAACAAATAAAATAAGGTATTATTTCATTTTTTTCTCTTCCCTCCAACCAAATAAAAAGATACAAACTCTTCCTTGAATTCATTCATCTCTTCTTTACTCTCTTCCATCCAATTTTATTCCTTCAAACTTAAGTTATATTCGATTAGGAGTGGAATTTGAATTAATAACATTTTAGTGATAATAATGTATCAAATTATAATTAAGGTTGGACTTGGTTGTCCAACGTATTTGTTAAAATCCAACCTGCCAGGCAAATATTTATAAGTTCCCACTAGTTAATACATCTATTCTTCTCAGTTCTCTACAATTTCTACTCACTAGAAAATATTCAAGTGTCCCATGCAATATTATGCAAGTATTCACGAGTTTGCGTTTTGCAAATCTATTCCTCCGTTGCATTGGCCGTAACATCTCATAAAACGCTATCTTGGGCTTTTCTTTTTTTTTTTTTCACTTGCCAGGCTTGAAGGCTTTTATTTTCTGGGCGACCTTGGATTCAGATGAGGCTTAACCAAACCCAACCCTTGTCCATCGGGATTTAGGTTAGGTTTGTTTTAACTTTTGATATAAATGTTATTATTATTATTTTTTAAGATTTTTCTTTTTTAAATAATTTTTTTTATTCTTTTTATTTATTCCGTGTTTAGTAAAGATCTAAGTCGATGTTAAGATCGAGTTAATCGGACGAGACGTGTAAATGGACTTTCCAGAAATTGATGAATAAGTTATTTTTGTTAAATTTTAATTTTTTTTTTTTTCGCAAAAAATTTAGAATAACTAAACGACAAAAAATATTTTACTTCCAAACAAACCGAGCCTCAAAATAATTTGAAATATTTTGAAATGAAGACTTATATGTAACAAGGGCCAATTTCATAATTGCATTAAATCTCTTTTAACTAGTAGCTTTTTGTAATAAAATCTCCTTAGTTATTATTTATTTATTTTTTACCAAAACCACCACCCCCTCTCAAATTAACTAAGGGATTACTTTTTGACTTATAGTTAAAAATACCCCTACCTTTTATGATATCCGACCAATTATATATATAAGTTGGTGAATTGCATAAAACCCTCTTGATTTAGTAAAATATTTAAATTGCAAAACCCAATAAAGGAATTTTATACTATCTAGTACAATGGTATGTAAACGCCCCCCTCCCCCCCCCCCCCAAAAAAAAAAAAAAATTGGTAACAAATTAATCTTTAAAGACAAATAAGTCGTTTGAAATATTCACAAAACAAAGAAGTCTTACTTTTTATTTTAAAAAAATTTGTTACAAAAAATAAATAATCATAAAAAAATTAATAAAGTATTTCAAATACACTTTTCGTAAATACTCACATGTTAAAATACAATGAAATGTTTTTCATTAAATATAATTATGAATAACAAATGAATTATTTCCATTCTTTATGAATTTTCTGCTTCATATTTTAACATGTGAGTATTTATGCAAAATGTATTTGAAATACTTGCTTAAATTTTTTAGGATTATTAATTTGGTAACAAATAATTATTTTTATAAAAATTATTAGTTACAAAATATTGAAAGTATAGAAAAAAATTGTATTTTAGTTATAAAAAAAAAAAAAATCAGTAATGATAACTTATCAAAAAGGACAATATTGAAAAAATAATCATTATCCATAAAATTTGGATTTATTTAAAAAAATAAAAAATGGGACTTCTTTTATTTTTGTAAAAATTTTATACGAGTTATTTGTTATTGAAACTTAAAAGTAGGACTTATTATAAATTTTTTTGAAGAATAGAAATTTTTTTTTTTATAAATTGACATGCTTACCAATATTTAATACTATTATAATATGAACAGTGATACTTATACTGATTTTAATTTATTATTTATGTACAATAAAAATCACATCAACATTTGTTACATAAATACACCAATTTGAAAAAAAAAAAAAAATGAGAGTAGCAACAAAAGAGTGGCAAGTATCATTTTCATTATAATATTAAAATGCAAACAGATTAAAAAGAAGAGGATATACGTAAAAGATGAACCCTAACGTTATCTGAGTCGCTCCGGCCGACCACTAGCAGTACCGATAGAAACCACCGCTCTGTGAGTGGTTGATTCGGCGGTCTGTCTAGATATTTCTCATCAAAAAACCTGCATATAGACTATTCTTGTATATACTGTATACTGTACTAATGTAGTATAGACCGGAAGAGAGACGAAATAGGTAGTCCGCTGGTAATAATTTCTTCTTGTCTACAAGTTTCGACATGGAAGCTACCCTCATCGGCGCTCATCACTTTATTCCCCAAGTCTTTAGAACAAAACACATCGAGAATCAAGGTTAGCGTTATTCTCTCCCGCTTTTTACTGTTTGGTTTGCCAGAAAACGAAGGAAAAACAGTAAATAAACTAAATCCTTGAATCTTTATATTTTATATGATGCGGCATGCAAGAAAATAGTAAGAATCGCTAAACCAAAACCTAATACAGTTTTATGGTCATTAAGTGTCTAATCAACACTTCCTTTTCCTTTTCCATTTTTACTTTGCAGTATTGCTTTCTTTGTTTTATTTCACTATCATTTGTATCCTGAACATAAATCATACTATCAAATTTTGCCGAATTGTGTGCATAATATTTCTTTATTTTTTTCCTGGTAAGAAATTGAATTTTCTTAGCGCAAGTGGCTGTGTAGATGCTATTGCGTTATTGACTTTTCTTGCTATTAATATTTTGATTATAATTGTAATTTGTTGAAGTCAGTTTAAGATGGGATGCATTTCTTGCTTATGCGTGTATTTATTTATTCATCTATCTAGTGTGGAACTAGGGTTTTTCTTCATTGCATGTTTGTTGAGTATGCTGATTGGACAATTTGTAACGTATGACTGGTATTTGGCGGGTATTCTGTGCCAATTTAAAAGTGAGGTTAATTTTACTGTTTTTGACTTGTTAGTTGAAAGCTTGGAGGGGCTAAATATTATTCATTTCTCCAATTATAAAGTTTTAATTAGTGTCAGGAAGATTAAGTTTACCATTGATTGGGAATTTGGTATAAGAAAATGGTGCATGTGGGAAATGAACCCAGACTTGCATGGGAAATTCTAGAATTCAAGCAGAAGTGAGTTATAGTTTAAAGGGTCATCTTGTATCGAGGTACACTTGCATTTTAAGGTGAAACATCATCATCTGTGATGAGGCCCTGGTGGAATAGAATGTCATGACCATAATTGCTGGTATGTATTAGGTTTTTGAATTGTCTGTTTAAAATATTTTAAGTTAGATATATGTGTGTGTGTGTATATATATTTGGTAATGAAGAATCAACCCACCCGCTAGCCACTTTGGAGTCTCAGATGGGTTGCAAGCTCCGGATGCCACACATATATGCGCCTTGTGAGAATCGAACCCAGGACGTCCGAGTTTACAGTTCGTTCCGAGAGGCTCCTCAACCACTGGGCCATGGTGTAGTCTAGTAGGTTATGGAATTTTATAATAGTTGCCGACTTGGAGGGAGTTTTGGGTGCAGGAGTGCACTTAGAGTTAAATTCTATTAGTAACAAAAAAGAAAAACTGATTAGACAGGGTTAATTAGAAGAGTCGTACATCTTTTCTTGTCCAGATTTTTTTTTCTTCCCTCAACAATAAGATCAATTTTTTGTGCTACACTGGTGGGAAGGCTTAAGGGAGTTGCACATTGAGGGGTAAGTTGAGTTTATCAAAGGAAGCTTTTAAGAGATTCTGATCTCATAAATTTATATTTGTTTACATTCCCATATGCTTTTCATGTGATTATAATTATGAGTTATTTATGATTTGGAAGGACACTCGAACAATTTGTCACTTACACTAAAACTTGAATATTCTCAACTGAGAGAGTGTGAGGTACCAAGATATTAGCTGAATTTGCTAATTAGATTCTAAATTACAGGAACTTTTTGTGATTAATTTATGCTCTATCTGTCTTTAACTCGCATATATTTTACTTATATTTGGTATTATCAAGTATCTAGAAAGTCATGCTTATGTTGGCATCCATTAACGTATTCTATAGTGATTAAGTATGAGATACAGGGCCATAGAAGTTGTGGCTCAAGGCTTTTTGAGTCGAGATGAGTGGAGCCGTTCTTTTCAAGTTGGAGAAGACTTGATCACGACAAGATTTAAGGATCCTTGCCAAATAGAATAACATATATATATATATATATTATGTGCACTTTGCCGAATCTGTGCGCTGTTTCAAAGAATGTAAGGAAGGTGAATGTTTTATGTTGCCTACAGTCTCCTTTTCTCGAATTTTCTGCATACTATGCCTCAGATTATTAAGTGGATAACATCTGGGAAGTCCGGTATAAAAACATGCTCGTGTTACAATATTCCGACATATAATATTTTCTTGGCCATGGCATAAGATACTAATTGTATTTTACAAATCTTTTGGACTGGATTTAGCAAATTTTCAAAAAATTTCCTTGTTTTCTATGCTTTCATTTGTACTGATTCTACTGAACTACTGTTCGACTCCAGCTTTTGACATTAGTCGATGATTTTTATCCACTTTATGATTGCCACACTTTTCTTCTTTGAAGTTGATTTATGGACTGACCTAACTTCATCTTCATCTATGCAGCTTTTGTAATTGAATTTTTTGGTTCTTCTTGATTAATTTTTTGCTTAAATCAATCACAAGTGTCAATAAATATTGTGGTCACATAATGTAGATTCATCAAAGATAGATCGTGCCCTTTATAGGTCCTTTGGAGAGTTTGGAAGGAGGAGACACGTAAACTTTCAGTTACATTGTTTTCCATCATTAATATGTGAGATTTGAGAATAATGTCATAAATCACTTGTCTCTAATGTTCTTTATTGATAACTGTTTTGGGATTGCACAGCATTGTTATCACTTAATACTAACATTGTGCTCTATATTAGGACTTACTAAAAATAGCTAGGCCTAGTTTCACATCGAATTTTTGTTTTCCTGTGTGTTTTTGTAGATGAAGGAATGCATTTGGGCTAACTTTGTTACTTATCTCTGACTTCCAGGTGTGCAGTGTGTACTTGATATTAGGTTTGATCGTTCATTGTATGCTAGAACTTACATTACACTCAAGACAAGTTCTTTAGAATTCAGAAGAAACCATTTTTTATCGTTAAACAGACCATTTTCCTCAAGAGCGAACAAGAAATTATTTATCCATTATTCAGATCAGCTCCGTAGTGCTTATATGAATGTCGAGGAAACATCAGATGAATGTTTAGACCATGAATCTTTTTTGTCACAGCTGGATGAGGGAGCACACATACCAAGTTCACAGGATATCAACAACTTTGTAACCTTGCAATCCAAACGTAAAATGTTTAAAAATAAATTTTTGGATTTTGTACGTCTGGGTTCAGTCCTCAACAATGCTGCTGAATCTTTTTTCAAGAGTGAGATACGGCGGAGGTTATTTGTGACAGCTGTATTAATTGTGATGAGTCGTGTTGGTTATTTCGTTCCTTTACCGGGTTTCGATAGAAGGTTGATGCCTGAGGACTACCTTAGCTTTCTCTCGGGATCTGTTGGTTAGTATAACTTGTGCTATAACTTGCTTTATGTATATTTATCAATATTCAACTTTGAATTGCACTGGGTTCCTTTATTTCCTTTTGCAGATATTTCTCTAATAATTGAGTGAAGTAGATAAGGAATTTGCTGGTGGTGATAGTTCTGTAAAAGCTTATTGAATATTATGTCTTTGTTACATTCACTCCCTTTTTTTGTTCCATGTTTTCCCACTGAGGTTGTAAAATTGAGATTAACAAGTTTACATGTAACTCAATATTAATTGTCATCCTTGGTACATATGTGTTTATATTATTTAAGCCAAAGAAAAATATTCTGATGTTAATGACAGGTTATTTTGGATGCAAAGAAAGTTGATTATGCCTAAAAGTGCAAATAAATAGTAAAGGAGAGCTGATTTGTAATACTTGTTTGTTTATAAATAACTTAACTAGCAGTTGTTATAATGAATGGGTGCTGTTTTCTTTTGAAGCAATGGACTCTGTAAGTTTTTTCTTTGTAACATCATCCATCCATTGCTTTTGGCAGATGAACTTGGTGATTCTGCCCCTGAACTTAAGCTTTCATTTTTTCAACTTGGAATCAGTCCTCAGATTGCAGCATCCATTCTTATGCAGGTTTATCCCTCTGGTTCACTATTTTGTCCGTTACTTAGAACTTATTGTGCATGTATATATATTTTTGAATTTTCATATTTTTCTTAATGTTTTTATGCTGCCAATTAAGTGTCATATATTGGCAGAGTCATTTGGAGGCTGAAGGAGAGTTTTGCGCTGCACAAAATTTAAATGTTACAAACATAGTAAATCTGTATACTGGGGATCCCTTTTACAAACTCACTTTACAGGATTAGAGTGTACTTAGATAACTCTTTTAAACATGAATAATTTGTGCCTTCTTAGTTGGTTCAGTGTATTAGGAGCTACTTGTGCACTTTACCTTTTTTGAGTTGCTAAACGCATCCTTTTTTTGTCATTTGAATGCTATTATCTCAAGTTTGGGTTAGTGTAATTAATCTCGTTGTGTTTGCCTCTAGAGTACACTCAAGTAGATCTCTCAGACTTTGGTTTGTTATAATTTGTTAAGAGAAATTTTGGTGGTGACTTAGGACAGGTAATCCTTCGTGCATAGTTGTGTAGACAAATGTTGCTTCTCATATGAGGAATGATATTAGTGTAACATGTTTGTTACGAGGAGCTCCAATAGTGTAGTTATACCCCTTCAAATTTTATGTTATGCTGCTATCTTTCGGTGTTGCTGTAATTCTTATTAGCATGATGACATGCAACTTATTCAACACATATCTGTTAAGCTCAGTTTTATTATTTCTCACAGATAGTAATATTCATGCCTCCATGCTTGAAAGAAGTATGCTAATTGAAATCATGCATTCGGCTAAATTTTCTCCCGTCATGTTCATTAATTTGATCTTTGATAGCTTTCCTATGTCAGTATTGATATTGCCATTTGACAATATGAGAGATATAACAAATCATGTTTGCAGGTACTTTGTCATGTTATTCCTTCCTTAGTGAAGCTGCGGAAAGAAGGCTTAGATGGTCATGAGAAGATTAAGAGTTATATGTGTGTCTAGTTATTCATTTCAAGCAGTGAGACGAGTCGTTGCTATTTAGTTTCTCAGCCAGTTATATCATTTTTCATGGCATATTAAAGGTTGCAAGCCCTATGAATTTTTGTATTTGTTTTCAGATGGTGGATCTCACTTGGATTTGCAATATTGGAGGCTCTGATTCTTTCTTGTTATTCTCTTCCATATTCCATCCATGCAACTTGTCACAGGTAATTTTGTTAGAAGACTTATTCAATAATGTTTTTCTGATTCCAACAATTAGGTGCTTTATAGATTTCATGTATCTAAGCTTTAGTCATAGGAACAATGCACCTGATGTTTGCCGATAAAGAGAGAGCTTGGTGAGTACTTTGTATAAGCATGTATCATCCAGATGGATATTTTGTTCTGCAAATTGCAATAAGCCTCCTGCTAAATCACTATGTTAGTAATGCAGTCATATGTGAGGTTCTCTCCTGTCAATGTGCTTTTACAATCTGTGAGTTAAATAAAACATTCACATTTTCATTTGCAATATACCATCATGGAATAGTGCCATACCATGATTTCATGCATAATTGAGACTTATCAAAAAAAAAAAGAAAAAAAAAGAGATTACATGCATAATTGAGGTTCTCTCCAGCTAGTGTGCTCCTATGATTTTCGTGAGCTAGGAAATATGTATTGCATTCAAATTTAGTTCTTGTGATGATAATACTTAAAGTGACAGCTTCTGTTTGTGTGGTTAGTGGGGAAATTGCTCTCCATCCTTTTTATATGCAACTGGTCTGTATGAGTAGTCTTGTTGAATTCTGACTACTGTCTCACATTGGGAAGTTACTTCATCTGCTGTTTGATATGCCAAATCAACTGTTTTTCCCAATAATTCCCAACAAAGGTAGATTTCTAGGGGCCTCTTAAGCTGGAAACAGCATTGTTACCATCATCAATATATCCACAGCGGGGTGGGTCATGACATATGAGTTACTTGTAGCATGTGTCATTTGACTTAAAATAGCATGCACTTGGAACCAACAAGAAGTTCTTGTAGAATCTAGATTATGTTATTTGGAAAATGACTTGTAGTCCGAGGTTGAATGGTATGCTTGGTTGTTAAAATATCAACCTGATCATACAATCCATACATACTGAATCAATCTGCTCCCACAAAAATTCGTAGAGGGTAGAATCGCACTGTACAGCCTTAATGCAACTCTTGTGTTGCTTTTTGATGGTTAGGATCTAAGACCCAATAATAATTTAAATGGAGACCGCAATTCACTTATATGTTCTAACTAAGATTATTATGTCAAAATTTTCTCCATGTTTCGACTCGACAAGGATTTTTCGAGTTTGTTTCAGACGTGTCAACTGCATATGCAACTAATTTGGGCCATCCAGTTTCCCATTTTGAGTTTGATGTTATTTTAATTTATTTTTTGTTTTTTGCTTCTTCTTTTAATTGGTTATTAGTAATCTAAAATATTCAATGGAGGAGTTAAAATTTGCTCTGTAAACACTACTTCAATCCGTCGACTTCAGTTTCCCTTTTCCTTTCAACCTTCAAAATTACTTTAAACCAATTCTATCATTTGGCAAAAAAGGAATTTTTATTTCCATTTCCTTTTCTTTCTTTTTTTTTGGGGGGAAATTATGTACCATAGAGGGGTGTGTATATATATATAATTTTTTTTTTTTTCTCTCCGTTCTATTTTTTTGACAATTTTTATAATGATTTGACGTGTTAGGGTGAATGCAAATCCAGACAACTTTTATGCTGATTTGAAATGAGTGGACAAATTACCATAAGAAGCTGTATTGAAAAGTCATTTTCTAATGCTCTTTTACAATTTCCCTTCTTGAGGTTGAAGATGTTTGAATCATCATGATTGGTGCACCGTGCACTTAGCATCACGTAATTGTTTTCTTTTTTTTTTATTCTTCTTTTTTTTCAGAAAAATGTTATTGATACACAAGGAAGTGTATTATAGTATCTGCTTTGACTGAAAGCACGGGCCTTTAGATAGAGCGCAATGGTGAATAATGATTGGTGTATTTGACCGCAAATAGTTGAGAAAAAGCTTTGTTAAGTTGATCGAATGATATGCCAACATTATCAGCTTGGGTTAGATTAGTCTCTTATAAAGGGATTTGTATTGTTACAAATTTACAATGTGCACTGTGTGCAGGGTCAAGCATGTCATGACAACAACTTTCCTTTTGGTGTGTGGTGCCATGACTATGACATGGATTTGTGACAAAATATCAGAAGCTGGATTCGGTAAAGTCATTAACATCTGGGCATGTCTTTATAATTTTAAGTTTTCCCTTTACTGTTTTTCTTGATTCCCCCTTTTATTCCCCTGTTATTTTCTTTCCCTGAATCTCCTTTTTAATAATAGTTCTATTTGTTGAGTAGTTGAGATGGTTTGCTTGTTTTTCCATTAATTTCTTAATTGACATCATTGTAGCATGCCCATTATTCTTGGTATTGGTATGTTCTGGAAATGGCTGTTGTTTACCTGAATGCCTCTGTTTCATCTTTTGCATATATGTGAAAAGATAATTTTCCATAAAGTAGACTATTGGAAACACCCCGGGGCCCTACCAAATCCCCAAATAATAAAAATTATAATAATGAAAAAAAGTAAAAAAGAAGAAGGAAAAGACGGAAGATTGATTGACTGAGAAATGCAAATGGAAGCAATTAATGGAAGTGAGTGTTAATTGGTCTTGTATTTGTCGGTTTCTCTTACGAAAATATGAATTATATGCATCTTATGTGATTACTGATTGTTCTGTCAATTTATGTTTTAAAGCATCCCTTGTATTTCTAATTAAAAGTTCTATTTCTTTTGACTCTCTCTCTCTCTGTTCTCTCTCTCTTCTATGAATCATTTCAACCACATGGTCTACCTACTGAGACGTCTGACTTCCACTCTCACACTCTAGTGCTTCTTTTTGGTGGTCAACATTAAATGGTTCTGGTGGACTCAGCGTGTCATGCTTTGAGTTGACCAATTATTTGCATCTCAAAAGTAATATTTACATTATTTTAATTTTTCTGTTGTCAAATGTAGAAAATAGTTTTCCAAAGCTATAAAAACCCTATAACCGTGCATAATCTTCGTATGTTTGGTCACTAGGAGAATGGTTAATTTAAAAACATTATATGATGATGCTTTTTCATCCAAATGGTGGTCAAACCCTACAATTGTTGTGCAGAAATATGATTAAGGAAGTGCCAAAATGCACCCATGAATGGGGCGGAGTGTTGGGCACTAAAAAAGGGACAAGACTAGCGCCTTCATGTAGCAGAAATGAGAATGTTAAGGTGGATGAGTGGAGTGACTAGAAGGGATAAGGTCACTAATGATAGTGTGAGAGAAAAATTAGGTGTAGCACCCATTGGTGAGAAAATTAGAGAGATTAGACTTAGATGGTTTGGACACATATGCCGGAGCCTTAGCAACGCATCGGTGAAGCGAGGAAGACTAGTTGTAATATACTCCAGGTAAGAGACGGAGAGGGTGCCCAAAAATAACATGGAATGATGTTATTTAAAATGATTTTAAAAAGTTAAACATAGTCGGGGAAATGGCATGTAATAGAAAAGATTTGAAAGAGAGAATTCATGTTACCGACCCCATTCATATGGGATTAAGGCAAGGATACTGCTGCTGATGATGATGATTGTGCTACTATTCATTGCTCTCATCTTGCCCTAAATTCAACACCATAGACATAATGGGGCCACCTGCTACACTTTTATGGCTCTTTTTTCCATTGTACAACCTCTCTAGCTAACTCGCTTGTTCATGCTGTTCTGGGCATCACACCCCAAAGATAGCTAGAAATGGGTTTTTAAATTTCTAGCCAGTAGCCACTGCACAATAGTTTGTCTCTTTCAATCCTCTGATTGCTATCTACTTAATGCTGTCAAATGAAGTAAATGATTGATAGCAACTGAGGATTGCTTGTTTTATGCTCTCTGTTGTCAGGGTTATTGTAGGAAATACTAGCATAAAATCAGTTGATCTTTAGATGCCTTTTTTTTTCTCGACAAAGAAGTAGCCCCAAGAAGTTTGTATATTTTCATTATGTTTTGGGAGGCGATATTCGCACTTCAGTTTTCTCCAATTGCACTCCACTTACTTTTTTCTTTTAAAGGAAATGACAAGAATGTCCTTGAATTCATTAATACATCATCCCTTATTTTATAATGTCATAACTACCCTTTATACAACTTTAACTTTTTTTACCTTCTTTACTTCCTTTACTATTTTTTTTCCTGTGCTATATTTTCTTTTCTTTTTTTCGGATGTCCTCTCAAAGAAGAAAATTTGTTCCATATTGATAATTTTACTTGTGGCAGTCAAAAGAGAGAATTTATTCAATGGAGATTTTTTTTTTTTTAACAATTGAAACAGATAATTTATTTAACAAAGTCAACTATTTTTTTTAGTCCTGTCAAAAGAGGTAACTTTTTTGTTGGTAATTTTTTATGGTTTGCGTAAAAAATTTATATATATATTCAATAGAAATAACCTTTTTTTTTGGTGTGTTTGTCTTATCAAAAGAGAGAATTTATTCAAAGAGATAAAAAAAATTTGAATCCTCTTTTTTTTGTACCTTTTTTTTTTTTTTTTTTCCCTGGATCTTGACAAAAGAGAGAATTTCTTCAATAAATATATATTTTTTGGGGGGGTTTATTTTTATTTTGTCAAAAGATACCTAAAATATTAAAGAATAGAGATAAGGAGAGGAAATCTAAAAGGACAGTTGTGTCATTTAAAAGGTAATAATAATTTACTTGTAAAGTTAAGGTTAGAATTGCCATTTCATTTGAGATTGTAGTACAAATGTAGAAAAGTGGAGTGCGAATATCGCCTCCCTATGTTTTTCAATCAATTAGGTACATCTTTCTTCATTTCACTTACTGGTATTGCATGCTTCAGGTCAGGGATCATCTTTGATTATATGTGTGGGTATATTGACTGGCTACACGGACATGTTACGCAAGATGTTATCCCAGCTTACAGGTGTGTAAAAACATAAGAAAATACTTCAACCTTCCAATTTTGCATGTTTATCATTTTAATTGTTTGATGTCTTGTATGTATTCTGTTGAAGCTGAATTGGTGATTGTCATCCTATTGTCAAACAATGCCTGCATATTATTTACCAAACAATATAGCTATGAGTCCTGGTGCAGCAAAATAATTGGAATCTTCAGTTTACTTGAATTCATTCACATTAACAGTTGGTCAATCTTTTGACTGATTTAATTTGGAGTAGTGTAAAAATTATTTGCAAAAGTTGAAAGTAATTCTTGATACATTTTTAAAGCATGAGTCTTTGGTGCCTGAGAACTGAGAAGGCTTCATGTGCTTATTGCTGGGTGGCAGTGTGATACTGAGAGAGATTTTATTGCCTTTATCTTTTTTACTTTTTTTTTTTTTTCTTTCTATTCTTTCCCTGACAAGAACTCCGTTTTCTTGGTATCTTCCCAACATTTCGAAATCATTCCACATTACTTGGGATGCTCTTATTTCTTCTTTTTCCAGACTTATCTTTCTTAATTGTCGAAGTAACCTATAACCAATGTATGAGAATATCTGTAGTTTCTTATGGTTTCCTTCATCTGTATTTTATCATATATCCTCATTCATTTTCAAGGGCTGTTTCAAGCTTCTACCATATTGCAGGAAGTGCTATAAGCTGGTGGCCATACATACTTGCAGTACTGGGTGTTTTTACTGTTGTTACTATGTGGGCAGTTGTTATAACTGAGGGTTGTAGGAAAATCAAGCTGCAGTACTATGGTTTCAAACTCGCTTCTGCTGCAAGGTGATATCTGCAAGTTTTCCAGATGGTTGCATGTTATTTTTATTTGTTGCGCCTGAATATTTTGATTTTTTTACATGAGCTTATTGATTTAAAGGCAATTGAATTAGTCTTTTAAACTTCTGTGATCTGCAGAGTTTTAAGAGTATGCTATTAAAATAATATGTCTCAATTTTCAGTAGCTCCAGCTGAACCGAAAATTCTACTTACCTAGGAGAAGTCATTTATGTACCTAGGAAAAGTCATTTGTTGACATTACTTGTTGGATTCCAATGTTTGACAGGGAGGAGTCTTCAATTAGTGATGTAGAGCCATACATCCCATTTAACATTAATCCATCAGGAATGCAGCCTGTTCTCACCACTACCTATCTCTTGGCATTTCCTAGCATCCTCGCAAGGTTTTTATCCGCAACTTATTTAGAATTTCATGTCATTTTATTTATTTTTTACGTTTTCTTTTACTTTTGGGTTGCATCTTGACGACAAGGACTCAAGATGGAGGTGTTAGCGTCTCTTCAGGTCTCATTTTGGAGACCATATAGAAAAAGAAAGTCATCATTGAATGATTGTGGTGATATAAACAAGGTGAGAGTTGTCGAAGGACTTGAAACTTCTGTTTCAGCATCCTTTATCCCAGTGATTATGAGGTTTTTATAGTATATGGTGGCCATTTAGAAAGAAAAAAATCATCTCTATTGAATCATTGTGGTGGTAAAGACAAAGGGCAACCTATTCATATTTGTGTCTCTCGTCTTTATGATTCGTCACAGATAAATACTAGGTATTTAATTCGTTGTAGATAATAAGATACCTCTTAAGATTATCATGTATAAAGTAGTGACTGCATTACATGTTTGTGCTTTATATTGGTGATATTGTTTTGTGAAGAATTCTCAAACTATAACTTTCTAATACATAGCTTTCTTTGCAGTCTCCTTGATTCGCGTTTTTGGGAACGTGTGAAAGAAATATTAAATCCTGAAACTTCTCTTGGTGCGGGGCCATGGGTTTATTATTTGATATATGCATTCTTTGTTTTCCTTTTCAACATATTTGACATTGTAAGTATTTTCTCAACTTACTGCTCGAATTTTGTTAAATGTGTGCCACTTGATTCGAATTTGCAAATTTTTGTGTGTTTTAATCATTTTCAAGCATTCATCTTTTCCTTTTGGCCGTGGCTTCATGATTCTTGCACATAGAAATACAGAAGTGCGTAAACTTAGATGATCTATTTTTGATCCTGCTTAAATCTGTTCTTGATATTTTGTGTTAATGGTTCTTAATTTCAGTTGGAAGTGAGTGTTGGTCCATTACGATATTAAATGTTCTGGAGAATGATATTTAGAAATCTAAAAATAATCCTTTATTGAATAATAGGAAGTTAAATTACTGATGGATACATTTCTATGCTAGCACACTCACCCTATTTGGCAATCTAATATTGTTAAAAACTGAAAATAGAATCTTATGTTGATGGGTTGTCTTCATGATTGGATCGGGGAAATTGTTACCAATAATATATGTGATGTTGTGGTCTGAATTTTGTCTCGGCCAATGCGATTGGACGGAAGCCCCCCCCCGCCCCCTCTCCCCCTGGTATATAAAGGCGTTTAGGGTCTGGTGTAACGAGAGAACACTGAAAATCGCCGAAAAGAGAGTGAGCAAGAGCTAGGGTTTGGGGGCTGAAACTTGTAATATCTTGATTTTCATATGGTTAAATCTTTCGCCGGATAGTCACTGTGGACGTAGCCCAAATTTTGGCTGAATTGCGTAAATCTTTCTGTTCCTCATGTGTGGGGTGTTTACTTTTTTGTCGTGATTCTTATTTTGTTCTTAGTTCGCTTCATTTGTCGCAACAATATTGAGGTGCGTGGTCCTAGGGGAGTGGGGGTTTGGACTTTCATTCGGAAGGGGTGGGACAATTTTTGCAAACATGTTCGTTTTCAGATTAGTGATGGTAGGAGGATCAGATTTTGGGAGGACACTTGGTGTGGGGAGATTCCCTTGGCTCTTTCTTTCCTATGGCTCTACAGGATTGCTTTTGATAGGCAGGCCTTGATGGTTTACTGTGATAATGGAAGACTGACTTAGGATGTTCAGTTTAGGCGGCACTTTCAGGATTAGGAGATTGAGGAGGTCACTCGTTTTTTGGGGTTACTGTTTCGCTAGGTGATCTCTCATGGGGATTCTGATTGTTAGCTTTGGAATCCTAATTATCAAGGTCGGTTCGAGGTGAGGTCCTTTTTCAAGTGTCTTACAGTTGGTGATGGTTGTCCTTTCCCTTGGAAGTCTATTTGGCGCTCCAAGGCTCCCCTTAAGGTGGCCTTTTTTGCTTGGACTTCTGTCTTGGGTAGGATTTTAACCCAATTTGAGGAGGAGGAATCAGGTGGTGGTCAATCGTTGTTACTTGTGCCTATGCGATGAGGAGACAGTTGATCACCTTTTGTTACATTGCAGCATGGCTAGAGATTGTTGGGATTTGATGCTTGGTTTGTTCCTCTAGAGGGTTGATTGAGGTTTGGAAAGGTTTCTTAGTTAGGGCTTTCATTCAGGATGCTTGGAGGGCTACGCCTCTCTGTATTTGGTGGTGCATTTGGCTCGAGAGAAATTGGAGATATTTTGATGGAAAGGAGAAGCCTATTTCTATGCTTAAGTTCTCCATTATTTCCGCTCTTTTTTGTTGGGTCTCAGGGAGAGATTATAGATCTATAGAGGAGATTGTATTCTTTTTGGACTCTTTGAAGGCTTGAGGCGTTTTTTGGCCTTTATGTTTCTTTGGGATTCGCTCCCCTTTTGAGCGCTTTTATATAATCTTACTTATCAAAAAAAAAAAAAAAACAATATTTATTATTGTGGGGGTTATTTAAAAACACGAAGAGAACAAGTCTAAAACTCATGAAAGGGTATCACTAGCCCTAATGAAGTTCGGGGCATATTAGTTCTAATCTTACTGGAAAAAGTCTTGGGAATGGCAAGAAAAGAAAGAGGCTCGCAGAGACCTGTTATCAATTTAGTGGTCCATGACTGATTTGTTTGAAAATTTTTCTCCTCCCTAAAAGCAAGAGCCTTGAAAGCCTAAGGCTGGTGAGGTAAAGTCATCTGCATGATAAACATTTTTTACTGTGATAGGACATTAGTATTATTATTATTATTTTGGTTATTCAGTTAAATTTATAACAATGAAACTTGATAGGCCATTATTAAATGCAAGTTATCAAGTGGAAAAGAAGTTTGTGGGTAACTAGTCAGTGTTCATGACCAGATGCAGTTTGCGAGTACTCAACTTACTGAAGAAAGATTCTATCTAAAATCCTCAGCAATCAATGCTATGTAATAGAACCCATGACATTGAGGGGGAGAGCTATAACCTGGAAAAGAAGTTTGTGGGTAGCTAGTCACTGTTCATCACCAGATGTAGCCTGCAAATACTCAAGTTACCTGAAGAAGGATTCTGTCTGAAATCAGTGTGATGTAATGGACCCCATACTGTTTTTTGTGTGTGTGTGTGTGTTTGAGAGAGAGAGAGAGAGAGAGCACTTGTCCCTTTTTTTTTCCCTTTTACATTTCATGGTGAAATAACCATCCAGAAGAGAATTGAAGAAGAATAAGAAACAAAGTAACATGAGAACCATACTAGTCAGAATGAGGAGTCAAATTAATTAAATGAGTCATCAACTAGTTTGAATCAGAGTAGAGGAGTCGTCCTGAGTCTCTCCGCTTTCTCTGCATAGTAAAAATGAGAAGAAATTTTGTACTTGATTGCCTTAGTTAAGACACTTGAGTGGGGCATTTAACTTTGTTTATATGGTATCATTTGATTCACGGGTCCTTACTTGTGAAATAGGATATCAAGAATAACATTGTAAGGCTAAAAAGTAGAATTGGTTGAACCATGGGTCAACATATGATCCCACAATCTCAGAGATCCTAATATTGTGTTGCTGCCTAGATCGGTTCAGTATTTTTGGATTGTAAGATTGTAAATTTCAGATTTTGATAACCATTACGCACATAAGGCCATGTTGCTGAGTTAAGATTTTTGTTAGTTTCCATGTCCAATCCCTGTCTTTTCATCTAGCCGTCTACGAACCATGAAAATTGGTGCAGCCTGCATTTCCTTGTCAGGGATTTGGAGTTTGAATTATACAGAACCTTTTAGTACCATATCATGCAAAATAAATTTAGATACCTCTTCTTGGGAGGATAAAAGGTTAATAATTGTCGAGAAGGCATTAAATTGCTCACTTGTTGGTAACTTGGCATCAGCTTATGAGTTGATTTTGCCTGACTGATCCTTCTTCTTAGAAATCTAACTTGCCAAGATGCTAAATGTTCATAGCTGAGCTGATCTAGTCAAGTCATACTCACATCAGACTTGGCTTTGATGGGTAGTAATTCTGTTCTCTATACTTTGTAAGAATAAATAAATAATCAAAGCAAGCTAATTATGGTGTTATTGCAATGTTGATTTTCTCATGTCAGCAGGCATGAAAGTCCCTAAACTCACTGCAGCAGTACCTGCCTTCTCTTTTTTCTTTTTCTTTTTTTAATTGTTTGTTGTGTGTGTGTGTTTTGGCGGAGCTAGAATTTTAATTCAGAGGGGTCGCAGTGGTTAAAAAAAAAAAAAATTATAATTTAAATAAGAAGGAAAAAAAAAAAAAAAATTACAGACTATATACATCATTTCTCAAGTGCAAAAAGAAGAATGTTAAGAAGTAGGTGGCCAAAAAAAATTAATAAGAAGAAGAAGAAGAAGAAAAAGGGAAGAAAAATGAGAAATTTGAAAGGAAAAAAAATTAGAGTTTGAGTAAAGAAGAAAAATTTAACTGTTTTTTTTAAGGAAATCAAAGGAATATTAAGAGCAAAAGGAAAGAAAAATTTAGAAGACAATTTTAGAAATTTAAAATTTTAGGGGGGGCATTATATAGAAATATTCTTATAAATGTATAAATTAAAATAAAAATTACTATATTTTATAGTGGGCGGGGCCAGGCCAGGCCAAGAGGGGCATGTGCCCCCTCTGGACACACACTGGCTCCGCCCCCGGGGGGGGGGGGGGGGACGTCGTCCATCATTATTTTTAGTACTAAAAGTTGATATTATGACTGCTGAAGTTTCACTAATATAACTGGGATCCTCTGATTCTTCACTGTTGTAACTGGTGAATTTGTATCCAGGCCAACATGCCTAAAGAAATTTCTGATTACTTAAACAAGATGGGTGCGAGAATTCCAAAGATAAAGCCTGGGAAGGCCACCATTGAATATCTGACAAAGATCCAAGCTTCAACGCGTTTCTGGGGTATATCTCTGCCCAAATGTTCTAACTAAAGTTACTCTAGCATGATGCCAGTTAATTAACACTTTTTTTTTTTCTTTTCTTTTCTTTGTGCTCTCTCTCTCTCCCCCCTCTGTTGGAAATTGTGCAGGTGGCCTATTGCTAAGCATTTTGGCAACTTCATCGACCATTCTTGATCACTATTTACGCCGTATCAATCAGGGATTTGGAATAGGATTTACATCAGTCCTTATCATTGTATGTCCAACTTCTGGCCCCGCTTTTATCCTCACATGGTTTTAGTGTGTTGTGCTTGAGTGATGCCTTTTAATTTGGTCCATTAAATATTCTATTTGTTGTTCTTTTATATTCTTTATTTGTACACGACAGTATAGGAACCTATGTTGGTGGAGAATATAAAATTGATTAATGACTTGGAAGAATTTCTTCAGCTGGTTAAGAGATGTATCTATCTTGCATACATAATCCCTTCTGTGCTAAGATCACACCAACTGTTTTGTGGTTTTGGGTATGCGTCTACTGAGACAGTGTTTTGTCTATTTTTTTCTTCATGTTCTTTGTCCTCTTGATTGGTTCCTCAATCCCTTGGGTCTCTCTCTTTTCTTTTCTTTTTTCTTTTTCTTTTCCAAATCACCCATGTAGAACTAGACTTGCAAGCTGAGTTCCGGCTTAATTGGTTCAGCTATTTCAGCTAAGTTGGACCTATTGCATCTCTCTCCCTCTCTCCCTCTCGTCTGGTTTCTCAAAGCACGTCTTCCATAACAACCAGGCTTGGATAACTCAGCTAGGCATAACCAGTTGGGTTAAGCTAGGTCTCATTACTCATGAGTCTATTTACTCATTCAGCTCATGACTCTCTTCACTATGGTATATTAAGAAGGCACTTACCCTTTTTATGCTTCTTGCTGAAGTGATCCTTTCCCACTTTGATGGTTCTCATAATTTGTGAAGTAATTTGTTGGAGTGTAATCTGATTTACAAAGGAGAACTGAAAATATAACGCGCCCCCAACCAATCCCCCCCCCCCCCCCCCCCCCCCCTCATTCTCCCCCTTTCCTGAAAGTCTGTAGAATATACAACTGATAGGATTAGTATGGAAAATTGGGTTCACCAAGTCCTTGCTAATTGAAGTCATTTCCTATCATCTTTGGATCCTTTCAAGTATTGTTAGGTTCCTTGCGTTTTTTTAAAAAAAATTTATGAACCTTCCCCAGGAACCTTTTTTTGTTGTTTGTCTCCTTGATGAGTGGATAGATCGTATAAAAAGAGTATTTTTAAAACAGATATAAAATATGAGCGAAATACATTAAAATGTGGTATCAACATAAAAAAAAAAAAAAAAAACTCATGCAGGCTGTATCTGGAGTAGGAGTTATTGAATCCATAATTCTTTGAATGGGGCATATTTATCCAGAAAGAAAGAAAAACTCGTGCTAGCATCATTATAATTTACTTGTCACTGGTTTTAAGCCATCAGGGCCATCATCCCCAATAAACTGGCTTTATTGAATCCATAATTCTTTGAATGGGGCATGCTTATCCAGAAAGGAAAAAAAAACTCGTGCCAGCATCATTATAATTTGCTTGTCACTGATTTTAAGCCATCAGGCCCATCATCCCCAATAAACTGGCTTTGTGCATTTCATGGTCCTGTAAGATAGGTTTACTCTATGCAATTACAGTTTGGGTAGTAGTTTAATTTATATATGCCAACTGATGGGTTATGTTGGTGTCTAGGCACTACTTTGACTGGGCTCCAAATTTAAATGATTGTTATGAACGTTATATTTTTTACATTTATCTATGGACCCTTTCTTTTGCTCTAGGTGGGCTCTATTATTGAGTTGAGAAGATCCTATCAAGCATATAATGTAATGCCAAGTTTAAGCAACGCTTTGAGGCGGTATGGTGTATAACATTTAAGCAAGGTTTTTCGTATTCGAGGTAATACAATTTTTTACCAGTATCACCAAGGAACAATCTGCAACATATTTTCCTTTTTCTCCCTGTACCAGTTTCGAAACCTTGACCTAGGGCTTGGGAATTAAGACCCAAGGCCACTAGGACAAAGGGGGACTGGTAATCTACACATTATCCAATGCTGCTAGTTATGACGGAGTTTTCCTCTTTCTTTTCTTCTTCTTTTTTTTTTTTTCTTTCCCCAGGATTTACAGGAGTTCTCCAAATGAAGATTTATTGTTCTCATTGCCCGGTTGACAAGTCATGAGATTCCAACAGAGATTCAGATGCTCCTAACATCAGGATCCAGCTTTAAAAAATATGAGACCCAAATTTAGAGGACCAGCCACTACTGTGACTAGATATCAGTTCGTCACTTCATCCTATTGATGCACGCTATGGTTTTGAAATCATTGTTTTTGTTTTGGCTTGTGCTTTCTTAGTGGTTTTTTTTGGGTCATCCAATAGATTAGTTGTAATTTAGTAGCAATTCAGCTGTCACTCTTGCTAATTTTGAGATAGCGGGATGTGGAAACTTTCTTTTTATTATGATGTAGTGGTATATGTATTTTTAGGTGACCAATTGGTGGACATAATTTAATGTTGTATAGTTGAGGAAAATCATTACCATTAGCTTTAATTAGACTGGCAGAAAACTTTTTCATCATTATACTGCCCTTGCATATAGAAGACAGGAGCACCCGTGAATGATAAAGATGCCTTTCTATCTTTATTGTTATGTACCTGGGTTAGATAAAAATAATGGTTGTAACTCTGAAAATAGTTCTCAAGAATTCAGAGAGCAAAAAATTGTTTTCAATGAACTATAAACGACAATTATCTAAAAATACTCTTTAATAGCAGTTTTTAAAAAATTGAACCAAGCAGAGTGTTTTTTGTATAATTTTTTGTTTTCATTTTTTAAAAAACAGAAAATTGTTCTTAGAGTTACAAATCAATAATTTAACGGGCTATTTGTATTGTGTTTTAGAAAGGCGTTAAATTAGTTTTGAATCATATATCTAGAGGGTCAAATATGATACCAATAATAATGCTAAAAACCTTCTCTAGTCATATTCATGCCCGTAATTTCTAATTTGCGGTTCATTTCTTTTTTATTTTGATGAAGTAAACCAATCCACGAAAAAAAGGTAGAGAATTTTAAAAAATTATCTCCTCTTTTCCTCAACAAATGGTTTGTTTTAAGAGAAGCAGGTGGTTACAAGAAATTTGAAGCCTACTCTGCTCACCTCAATAATAAAGGTAAAAAACCAGGGTATTTTTTTGGCCCCAAGTTTGGTTGAAAAGTTCACTAACTTAGCCCACCAAATCTTGTTCACTTATTGAAGATATACAATTAAGTTAGAGGAAAGAGAGAAATAAGTGGAAAAGAGATTTATCAAAATTGTCTGGAGATTTCTCATATAATTGTTCAACAAAAGTTCAATGTCTGATATCATTATCATTACAATTTTTAATTTAATTTCGTATAATTGAGATTATAGTTCTTCTTTCACACCCCGGTACTTGGTTATAACTTACATGTACCATTTATTTATTTTTAGGCAAAAGTGCACTAAACAGGTCTAAACTATTGTCTTGTTGCAAAATGTAAATCTCAAATAACATATATATATTTTTTTTGCAATTAACCCCCTCTGACTTTTAAAATTGCTCACATTGCCCCTTGAGGCTGACAAATTTTTGATTTGACCCTTAAGCAAGGCACATGCACTGCACTGCACGTGACATTAAAAAACTTATTTAGTAACCTAAATACCCTCTATAAGAAGAAAAATGCCTCGTTTGTCAAACTATCAAAAAGAAAATTTTATTCTATTAGTTTATAGAGGGTATTTAGGTCATTAAAAAGTTAAAAATTATAACTTTTAGCCTTTTAAAACTACATTGAGGATAGATGTTGTATATTTTAAATAACTAGATGATGTCTTGTCTGTCAAACTATGGACATGAAAAAAATTACTCTATTAGTTTAGGGAGGGTATTTAGGTCATTAAAAAGTTAAAATTTATATTAACTTTTAAAACTACACTTAGGATATAGGTTGTATATATTAAACAACTAGATAATTTTATCCTTTTAGCTTTTAAATTTTTATAAAGACAGTTTTATCAATTCTTTTATAAAGTCCTATAACAAATATAAGAACACTCCACCAAAAGATATTCTTGTAAAATTAGCAACATAAAAGCATCTCCGATGGTTGTTTACAAAATTTTTACAAACCTACTTGATATATGATTGATTCGTTAAGGCTACGTTCGGTGTGCAGGAATGGAATGGAATAGAATGTTCATTTGAACCATTCAGTTGTTTAGTGTGCAGGAATGGAATGGAATGACCATTCTAATTGAATGAAAATTTCATTCCAGGGAATGAAAATCCATTCCATTTGTAAACCTATGGAATGACCATTCCAATTGAATGAAAATTCATTCCAGGGAATGAAAATCCATTCCATTAGTAAGATAAAATATTTTTGTAATATTCTCAATAAGCCCTTAATCACATTCCAATAAGGCAAAAATATTTCGCATTCACCAAAAATCTTTCACATTCCATTTTTCATGTTTATCGACTTTTTTATTAGACGTGGTAAAAGTCTTTCATCTTTCATCTCTTCTGAATATACCCAGAACTGCTATTAACAAAAAGTTACAGGACTTTCAACTAAATTGCAAGTATTAATTTCTTTATTTATTTATTTTTGATAAGTATGTATTAAATCTCTTTTATCTTCTGAGTATCACTTTTTTATTTTTATTTTTTTTATTATATATATATATATATATATTTTTTTGTATCTTTGTGTTGAAACATTTATGTAATCATCTGGAACCAAAAGTGGATTTGCTTGACTTTTGGATCCTTAGTCAAGTTCATCGTTGGATGATTGGAGAACCTTGCTCGATTAGAATTTTAACAAAACTAGAATTTTCAAGAAATCTACAATAAAAAAATGTAAAAAATAAAAATAAAAAAAGGGGTATAAAGAATATATAAGTATTCTTTATTCGTTCCTTCCAGCAAGTTCTTGTATTTTTTAGCCTTTACATCAACTTCTTAGGTTAAATATTCAATCATGGTGAGTTGGTTTAGTTATAATTTTTTTATTTTTCCTTCCTCCAATGAAAAGGGCATTTTTGAGAAAAGGTATTCCCTTCCAGATTTAATGATATTCAACCAAACAATAATCATTCCATTCTATAATGATTCACCGTATCACACCAAACATTAGAATGGTAATACTCATTCCATTCCATTCTCATTTTCATTCCATTCTAAGTTTCATTCCATTTCATTCATACGCACCAAACGTAGCATAAAAGTATCTCCAACAGTGTGTTAAAAGGATAATTTTGTGTAAAATATACATAATGTGTAATTTTTTTTTTTTTTTTTTTTCTCTAGCAGTATGTTAAGATACATTGCCACCTCACCAATGTGTAAAATTGTTGTATATTTTGCATAATCCTTTTATACAGCCACATTAACATATTTTCTCTCTCTCTCTCTTTCTCATTCCATTGATGAATCAATCATATGTTAAGTAGGTATGTAAAAATTATGTGGGGTCTTGAGTATGACACATGATTAGTTGTTATTGACATATATATTTTGGATAATACTTGCCTACTCACCGGTGAGTAGGAAACCTATGCTCACCATGTATGTGGCGCATTGTTAAACTGACAAGTGTTCTTACATTTTAAAAAATAAAAAATTTCATAGCTATCTGGGTTAAACTCAAATGAATCCGAATCAAATTATAATTCTCTCTTCTTCCCTCTTTTTCATGTTTGATTGCAATTACTATATCTCTCCCCTGGGTGGCAATCAACCCCCTATCAGGAAATTCTTAAATTGAAGGGTCGTTCCAGTTCCCATAATGTTTCACTGTCTAGTCAATAGTAGTCTCATTCCTCATTCATGCATAGTAGATAGAACCCCATTTAATTTCAAGTTTCGGATGCTTTTTTCTCTAGTAACTTTCCAGAATGATGGACAAGGGCCTCGAGTGGTATATGAATTCATTTCTTTTGTGTGTTGGTATTGACCATGTCAAAGGACCAAATCATATGATAGATTTGTTTTTTTTTTTTTTTAAACATCATTTAAGTGTTTTTGTGCATAGTTAAACTTAGATCACCTGAGTGTATGATTTGTTCCCTTGAGACCCTTTAATCACAAGACCAACATTGCAGATTAATATGATGGATTGTTCTTAATATATGCACCACTTTTTTGTGTCTAAATTCTATGAGTATTAGTCTTTGAAATGAGGCTTTGCGCCATTGTCATCCTTGATTCAAAGTCAAAAAGATTTTTGTTTATTTTTAAAAATTAAAAATCATATATATTAAGAATTTTGTCCTTTTCCATTATTATTATTATTTTTATTGTGGTGTGGGAAATTTGTATTAGATTCTGATCTCTGTCTAGAGCTTCAAGTTTTTGGCTTGGTTGAACTCCCACAGTGAAATTGACCCCCCTATTCTAGGTGCATTTGCCAACCTTTTTTGATGGGGGTCGATCTCCACTGTGATACCCCTCGGATCCGAGACACGGGTTGATCAGGCCCAGGCCCAAACCCAAGGGATATCAAACAATTAATATGTTAAATCGAACACGGAATACAAAAAAAATGATTTAAGAAATAAATTAAAAGCTGAAAGAAACTAAAAGAAAAACCTTGTATCACAATTAGTCCAATCTAATATTCCAAAACCTCCATAAGTTTACAACTCGGGAATCCATCCATTAGACCCCTTATTTAAATTCTCAAACCGAAATTGAAATGACAAAAATAAACTCTAAAGCTATTATAGAGAAGATTCCTACATAGTTGGAGGAATGAATATCTGTATTTGCTCTGCACGATCAACCTCTAACTCTGGAACTGACGAGCACCTGAAAAATAAAGGAGTGGGTCAGGCCCACATGCAAGTCCTGATCTACTACAATCCAAACAGTAATCCGATATGCAGATACATCCTAGGAAGACTCAACAATATCTAGAGTAGTCCATATATGTATATAGTACACACTATAGGACGCTCGCTAGTCCAGTAGGTCTGTCTCAGCCTGAATAGAAGGCAACATGCAAATACGCACCCTAAGGTGAGCATGAGTACCTAGACCTACCAGGGAACAACACCTATGTCCAGTTATCCATCCTATGCGATATACGCACCCTAATCATGATTCTGAGACTCAAGCTCATACCATGGCATATATAATAAATATATAAAGTTCGTACTCCTAATATAAAATATCATCAATATGTATAGTGGTCTGATATATGTATAACAAATCCATCCTGAAACCATAATAGGTCATTCAATTTATTTGATTGACATGACACAACTAGGTGATGGACTTAACCTTTATGGTTAATCCATACCTTAATCCAAATTAGGTAGGACTCAGTGTTTTGAACTAATCCATTCACAATATAGGTAGGTCTTAGTGTTTTGAACTAAGCCATCCCTAATATGACACCGTCCCATACCGGTTCATATATATCCATATAAGTAGGACTTAACATTTTTATGGTTAATCCAACCCATTCCAAATTAGGTAGGATTTAGTGTTTGAACTAATCCATACCTAGTATGT